ACCCGTCCCCTGTTTATTTTGAACTCCCCTTTCTTTTTCGGTTAACTTTTAACAGCTCTTGTTTCGCTTTGTCCAACTGCCCCTCACCAATCTCTCACTCTTGCTTCCCTTCCCTTGTGTCTGTCTTTTCTCCTCTCCATGTTCCATCCTTTCTCTCACACATTTATACACGGTCCGTCTCATTTCTTATGCTCAAAAATCATAGTGATACCTAATGAACAAGGAATAAAATGATAATGCAAAGACAGTCATTAGGGAGTTGATGAAAAGTTGAAGATGGAGGTAAAAAAGAGTTCAAAGGAGGGATGAAAGAGATAATGGAAACAACTCAGGTGGAGGACATGAGGAGAATAGGGAGTTCAATGAAGAGGGGAGGTTCAAGAGGATGGTGGTTAGGAAGAGAAAAAGATGGGGAGGGGAAAAGATGGTTACTACAACGAGGGATAGAAGATGATAGGAGAAAAAGGATGAGGAGATGGAGTGAAAGAAATGTGGAGCAAAGGAGGAAGAGGATGGGAGTGATTTAATAGGTGGTCAGCCCAGTGGAAATGTACATGGTCTTAAAATAGGAGAGTGCGTTATGTAAGTGCTTTGAAAGCGTGCGTGTGTAATGCTGGCTGGGTACTGGAGTCGCTACATGAGTCTTGGCTCAGAAATCAGACACCAGACAATGAGTCTCTATGTTTTACAGCAAGCTTTTGGTTTCAGCTTTAAATCACCTCACTGTTAATTGCTCTTCCCACAGCAGGCTTTGCTCTCTAGAGGTCGTTTGGTAGGCGACCGTCCAACACAAACATTCGTGCAAATGTATCACTGCTGTCATCTGAGAATTTCTTAACTGATGACTATCTCTGCGATCATAACTATGAAATATGCCTTTTGAAATATGATTCTGCAAATTCCTCATCCGTCAATCAAACTTTAAATCCACATGATGACATCTTCTACTTTGGCTCTTCGGATGGAGCTTCTCCGGATGGCAATCTTTCCTTAAGAATAAGCCATGGAAGCTACTTGTGGTCATTATCACAAATATGTTCCATCCGTTCTCTCTTGGTTCCTGGTGGCAGACAGTTGCAGCTCTTTCTCACCTAGAGTCACGGCATGTCACAGTCTCCACCCAATCGGTTGGCGTGGAACACCTCCACAAGAGAGCACTCAGGAAACATTCAAATCAGATGCCAGAACCACCTCAGCTGACTCTTTTGTTTTTATGCAAAGGAGCAGCGACTATGCAAAGTCTCTTTTATCCATGATCTTATTCTCTCTGCTTATGAGCTTTGGGGAAATGACAAAGATAATCGACCAGGTGTGTGTGTGTGTGTGTGTGTGTGTGTATGCACTTGTCCACACCAAATTTGATGTACCAACGTCTAATTGTTTGAACAAGCCCCAATTGAACCCAATCCAATCCAATCATGCTATGTATTGTCAATGATATGACCATCGCTGCTACAACCCGCTACTGCAGATACACGCTTTACAAAATCAGGAAGATACGTCCCCTCCTGACCCAGAAAGCGACTCAGGTTCTGGTCCAGGCTCTCGTCATCTCACGCCTAGACTACTGCAACTCCCTCCTGGCTGGTCTACCTGCATGTGCCATCCGACCTCTGCAGCTCATCCAGAATGCAGCGGCTCGTCTGGTCTTCAACCTTCCTAAATGTTCCCACGCCGCTCCTCCGCTGCCTTCACTGGCTTCCAGTAACTGCTAGAATCCACTTCAAGACAATGGTACTTGCGTACCATGCTGCGAATGGATCTGGCCCTTCCTACATCCAGGACATGGTTAAACCGTACACCCCAGCACGTGCACTCCGCTCTGCATCAGCCAAACGGCTCGCTGCACCCGCGCTGCGAGAGGGACCAAAATTCCCATCAGCAAAAACACGTGGGTTTGCTATCCTGGCTCCAAGATGGTGGAATGAGCTCCCCATTGAAGTCAGGACAGCAGAAAGCTTACACATCTTCCGGGGGAGACTGAAAACTCATCTCTTTCGACTCCACTTCGAGCGATATAATTATTAACGAAGCACTTATATACTAATAAAGGACTGGCTTATCTAAAGCCAGTTGAGTAGCACTTGAAATGTTTTAGCTCTATGAAACCTGATGTACTTATATGATTCTGTTTTCTTCAAGTTTGTATCTTCTTGGTCGAACGCACTTATTGGAAGTCGGTTTGGGTAAAAGCGTCAGCTAAATGTAATGTAATATGGGCTTTTTCTAAGAATTGTATTTTATGTTCATGGTGTCAACTTTTTTTTTTTTTTCTTGCAACGGATTATTGTCAGCTTTGTTAAAAGCCACGCAACCACATGGCACAGTGTTTGACATGTATTTATGTGGTAGAAGCATTGCAGCCCGATGTGTAATTTTGTTAACATATGTATGTCATCATTATGCTTTCCCTCTAACACCCATAATGGCTAATTGAGAGGGTGATCTATTAAACCATTCGGATAACTTCTTTAATCATTTATATTAATGTGCATCACTATTGATTGTGGATCTCATTTACTTTCATTTTCCTTTCTCCCCCTTCTTCATTTTGTTTAGCAAAATGAAAATCGTCACGTGTTGTAAATGGCCTAAAGTAAGGACAAGATCCTGGAAACCTTTTCAAAATACAGATTTTTCTTTTAATTTCTTTGCATTTGTTGCCTTTTTTTATTGCTATCAATATATGGGATTAGTTTTGTCTCATAAAGATAAAGCAACACTTTCTCAGAATCAAGCAAAACTAAGAGTTTTAAGAGTCAAGCTAAATAAATGTAATTAATAAAACTATAAGTTGCAAACAAATCATTTGTGTAATCATGTAAACTATAAGTCTTTTTTCTTTGTTTTAACATATATTTTTGTTTTCAGTTCTTGTTTCTTCTTTCTCAATGATCAGAGTTTTGCTCTCGCTGCAGCTCTTCTCGTTTGCGCTCCCTCATTTTTTGTTTGCGATTCTGACACAAACATCCCAGGTGGGCGGGACTTTCAGGGGTGTGTCCCCATTGGCTACTCAGCTTTTGAGTGACACATTTTTTTTTCTGAAAGAGAGAAAGGTTTTATTTAATCTCTCTGTATTTATTCATCCTTCTTTACAAATTAATGTTGTAATGTTCATGTGTAAATATCTTTCAGAAAGTCAAATAGAGATTGAATGAATGAGAGCGACATAGACAGAGAAGTTCAGGGCATAGCAGTGTGGCAGATGGAATAGATTAAGACATGACATTTTCCACAATGACAGACATCTGCTGACTACTAAGTATGTCTGTCTGTCCCTCTGACTGCCTCTCTCATGGCCATTGTTGAGTGGAAATGTACAAGCTCTGGTTGTGTCATTGTCGCCCTGATCCCACTGCTTAGACATTCTGACTGATCACATTTCCACATGTAATAGTTTTAATTGCGAAAGGGAGGACGAGTTTAGTATTTCATTCTAATTTTCTTGCACCTATACACTCACAAGACTGAGGGGGTCTTACTTAAAGTTAGCTGTAGATTCAGTGCAGGTACAAAAACAACATGGTGTACACTTCGTAACTCTGACACTTTTAGCAATGTTTTGCTTAACTTAGAATCTCATAAAAAATGGAAATGGCTATCAATGGCTACCAAATCTCAACAAGTACTCAGTAATATTGTTGTTGTGTCCTTTCTTCAGTTTAATAATTTGGCCAGATCACAAACACAATTTTATCTGGGCTGCCATACAATAACCCCACTGAGCAGTACAGAGTTGGAAGAAGTACTCGGATCTTGTACTTGTATCTTGTAAAAGTAGAACTACCAAAGTGTAGGAATATTCAAAGTATTACTCAAGTAAAATCTAAATATACTTAAGTATCAAAAGTAGCCATTATGCAGAATTGAATTTCGATATTTATTGCTGGGTAGCTTGTGAATTGAATCCAGATGTAACTAAAGTCCCTTTTTAAGTGTTCATCATATTTTGTTTATCATTGATCCATATCGGCAAATTAATTAAAGGTACTACCTAAATGTAGTGAAGTACAAAGTAGCGTAAAATGGAAATATTCCACTCAAGTACAAGTACTTCAAAGTCATGCTTAAGTATAGTACTTTGGCAAATATACTTAGTTTCTTTACATCATGAATGACTTTAATACAAACATTAATCAAGAAGGCTTCTCTAATGCAATAAAGAAGAACTCCACAGTAGGTAATTGCATCCTCAGTGTGTCAACTGAAGATAAAGTGGAATATATGGTGGACTTGTATTATAATGAAATCAAAGTGGCAATGATAATCATTTTCAGGCTAACTTAGAATTTCACCAGTGAAGGCAAGAGTGTGTCTTTGTGGTGAGGTAATGATATTGTTGAGGCGTGTTCATAGCTTACATGGTTGAAGGAAGCCTCATTGTGTGTGTGTTGCCGCTTAAATACACAAACCTCGCCAGTATAACCCTGGGACGAGCAGAGAAGCCAGGCCACAAGAACCAGCCTGTACCCAGACCCCTGAAGACTACTGTTTAATAATGGGTGGCTTGTGGTGGAGAAAAGGTTATAAAATGTGTGGCAAACATGGGATTGATAGTGGAGGCTATCTTTAATCCATTTAGGCTCCATGCTGTAAAAGTTCAACTAAATGAGTTATCCTATAACTCATTAGGCAGACTTCTGGCAGCTTGGAAGCATTAGTTAGTTATTAATCAACACTTTAAAACATAATTGCTTCAAAGGAGTGAAACACAAGCTATTCTAATGCTCTTGGAAGTCACAAAGTTACCATTATACTCCTTGCTCCAAACAAGTAGTACTACTGCCACATCTGCTGAATATTCAAGAGCAATTGATTCTGCAACTGCTTCTGTAACTTAAAGACCACACGTTTGATGCCCAGTGCAACTAAAGTTGTTTTATCGATTGGTTCTGGTCAAATCTAGAAAAACATACCATGACAACTGTTTTTAAAAGCGGCTCTGAAACAAGTTCAGACCAATTCTCACTGGATTCTTCCTCTGTTTCCTGTTTCTACAGAATGGCTCAAAAAGAGAAACTCCAGTGCCTGAAGGACTTCCATAAGGACACTCTGAAACCATCTCCAGGTAAAAGCCCTGGCACCCGGCCTGAAGACGAAGCAGAGGGCAAACACCCCCAGCGTGAGAAGTGGGCGAGCAAACTGGACTTTGTTCTGTCCGTGGCTGGCGGCTTTGTTGGTTTAGGGAACGTCTGGCGTTTCCCGTACCTCTGCTACAAGAATGGTGGAGGTGAGGCCTTTGATCTCAGTCTTATCAAACGTGCTCTGATTTTCCATATTGGTCTTCTTTGAAATCATGCTGATTATGTTTTCACTCCACCCAGGTGCATTTCTCATCCCCTACTTCATTTTCCTGTTTGGCGGAGGTCTACCAGTCTTCTTCCTGGAGGTTTCCCTGGGTCAGTTCACCTCCGAGGGTGGCATCACCTGCTGGGAGAAGCTCTGCCCCATCTTTACTGGTATGTAGCTCATTGGTTATGATTAGATTATCGGGTGGCGTTGCATTTCAGCACACAATGTGGTTTTTGACATGAATGGTTGTAAAGAGTAAGAGAAAGGAGGTGTGCAGATGGGTGGATGAAATATTCACACTCATCGACAGTTACCCAGGTGGGTGTTGACCCTGCACATAGAAACCCCACACATAACATCATGGACACACAGTCTAATGTTTTAAAATTGTAGTTTACATTCACAATGGAACAGAACCACCTAAAAGCTGAGGTCCTTTCCTGTAGTGTGTTATATATTTGTTTGTGCTTGTAAATGGTCTACAAGGCTAAGACACACATCCCCCACCTCCCCCCTGCCTGAAACTCCTCCAATGGTCTCCTTTGTTGACTTCCATTAAATTGTGACATCACTATCTAATACTCGCGCTTCTATTGGCTAGCGCTCCAACATATTGTACGCTAAAGGCTAAGGGCTGGGACATTTCCGACACATCTCTAAGCTGTTGACCAATCACAACCGAGCCGGCCAGCTAACCAATCAGAGTAGACTGGGCTCTGGTTTCAGACAGGGGGTGAAAAGAGGTGCTGCAGCACAGGCAGTATGAGAAGAATAAAGAGCTTTTGGAACATTAAAGCATGGAGACATGTCCCAGTAGAGACACTGACAATGAGCATTTATCCTCTTAAGACTTGAAACCTGTGTTGTTGGACATTAGTAGGACAAATGAGGAAGATTTTTTTTGTGACATATCACATTTACTGTTCTCACATTATCCTACTGAGGGCTGAGGAAAATCCAACATGGCGTCACAAACCTTTTCCTGCCCAACTCAAAGGGTTTGAATTTTTCCAGACCTCTGTTGGTTTTCACAGAGGAATGACTGTGCAACATAAGGCTGAGTCACGCCAGAGTCTCCTCCAACCAGAGCGCTGAGACTGTACTGTGCAACCGTTTCCAGGCAACCAGGTTTGCTCTGGTACACCAACACACTGAGGCCTCTATTCTGCGTTAACCTTCCCCAGCTCTCACCTCCTCTCCGGTGAAAACCCCCTCTCTTCAAGGAAAGCACATTCACAGTTCCTAGATGTATTTCCTGATTACAGGTATCAAACAGAGATAGTTTTTTAAATGTTTGCCTAGCCAGACTTTTCTTTCTTGAGTCGAAGCTCTATTTTTTACTTTTCTACCACATATTCCCTTCTTTTTTCTAGATATGTTTATATACAGTGTATATATATTTATGTAATGACTCGTTTGTCCTTGCATGTACCATGCCCAAATACTAACCCATGTCTTTACAGCCCATATCATATATAATAATAATATATATTTATATAATAACTAACATGGTTTATTTTTTTTATACGTGAATTAAAGAAATAAATTGAAATATATAAATTAGTATTATTAATAATACAATATTAAATAGTTAGTAATAATAATATTATTATAAAAGGATCAAATACATAAAGTAGTTTTTAATAATAATAATAAGCTATAATAATACTAATAAAGATAATATAATAGTTTATCGGTTTGTTTAAGTGCATTACATCATTTTTTTTGTTGCCAAAAATCATAGTGAAGTAATATGAAAAACTCAAAATGAAAATATATATATTTTTATAAATAGAAATAGAACTAATTATAAAAATAAAATATCCAGGTGGAGAACAAGCACCACGTGTTTTACTTAAGCATAGCACTGCAAATTGGCAGGTAAGAATTTTTTTTTCTATAAAGGCAGATGGATAATAACATTTTAATATTTCATTTGCTTCACTCCAAGCCTCTCCTCTTCCTCCTCTTCCTCCTCAGCTCTTCTCACCTCCCCCTCTCCTCCTGCTCACTAATCATTAAGGTTCATGTATTCATCACTGTTTATTTATCTCTATTTTTCTGTTATCTTTTTAATACTCATGCTGATTCGCTATGATTAAACATACACAAACCTTCTCTCTGGTTCTTCTCATGACTGTTGAATTTAGTCTGGTCATTTTATCGTTACTGATGACAATCGTAACCGATCATGGTTTCATTAACTCCATTTAATTATTTACTCATGTTGCGGTTTTCACTTTCACATTACACACGTTCTTTCTTTGTTTCAGACATTATCCCTCCGCCGTCACACACACACACACACACACACACACACACACACACATACACACAGAGAACCGAGACGATGTACAGAGTGTCCCAAATCACACGTTGCTACGGCAACAGTGAGGCAACACATCAGAGAGATGAAGAAAGGAAGCAGAGCAGTGAGTTCTGAGGAGATGGATTGATAATGACAAGACAAAAGGGGGATGGAAATAAAGACGGAGAGAGATGAAGGGTGGAAAACAGGAGAGGAGTGAGGGAGGAAGGAAAGGAGGGAGATGGAGAAGAGGAGACTGTAAAGGAAGGAGATGACAATGGAGGACATGAGTCTAAGACAAAAGGAAAATAATTAAAGCAAGATCAGAGAGAACGAGAAAATAGGAGATATATGAAAGAGAGCCCTCTTTATGCCTCCTTATGTTTTTGTAAACATTATTGGGAAATATAAAGGTATAACTGTTCATGCTAATGTAACATTATGGCTCTGACCTGGAATAAGAACGAGAGGAGAATTGAGGCGTGGTCCCAGATTCTGCCCACGTGTCTGATTTTCAAGAGATTAAAACATGTCGCGAATGATGATCATTGAAAACAACCAAACCAGTTGCCTGTCAGTTAAAAGAAAGGAAATTACAGCAAACTGTAACTAAATAAGAGCAGCTGTTCAAGTAAAGGTCGAGATACAGAAATAACAACAACAATCAACATTATCTACGTGCTCCAGGATACTGTGGACCAAATACCTGAAGTCTTTACTTCTGTAATTCAATGTTTTTCTTTGATATACATGAAAATCTGAACATTCGGTAACCAACACCACCGCTCATTACAATTCCTTATTAATGAATGTATTATTAATACTACTGAGTATCATGCTGTGTCGTGAAAGACTACAAGCCAGTGGAAGTACAATCCAGCTTCATAATGACTACCATTTAGTCACTTGTAGACATTGACAAGCATCAATGTCTGTAGGCCGACCCGGAAGTTAGCATCGCAAGAACTCCCTCCACAAGAAGCAAGGGAGTTCTTCAATTGGATGTTGGAATATTGCAGAAAATAACACATTTCGGCAAACACACATTTATCATACTTAACACCATGGCGAGCCGTGACTTTTATACCTAGGGCCTCTGACCCCCCCACCTTTGATGATCAAATCACTTAAACACAAAGTCCATCCTCCTGTCCTTTTGGATGAAGCACTTGCGGGTCATTCAGCTGATCCTTTGCTACTCCAGTTTATCATTGTAACTCAATCTTGAAAATGACTCGGTTAATAATTTGGCAACGATGTCATCACTATCACTGAAGTGAGCCATCATGAACGAACTTATGCTAATTATAAATCTATCGATTAGATTTATGATTCGAAAATAATAAAAGTAGGGTAGACGTGGATATTATCCGGCTGAACAAAACGTGCATTTATCTAACAGTTTTGTTTTCCACAGACCTTATTTCAAGTTATTTTCCAAAATCCTATGGAGAAATCCCGTTGCTTTCTGTCGAGGGAATCCGAGCGCAGCTTACTTCCGGGTTTTAGGATGCGTCACTGCACCACTTGCATGGACCTCACAGCGGGCGGAACTTGTCATAAAGTCCGCGAAAATAAAGCCCGCCCATTTAGAGGGAAGATATGATTGGTCAATTGTACTGTCATTTGACATTACATTACATTTACATTACATTACATTTGACTATAGTAACTCAATGAGAGCATTGAGTTACTATAGCGTGCCCTCTGTAAATCGCAGAGAGGGCCATAGGAGCTTCTTTCATTGAACCCTTCACATTCAAACAGAAACTGAACAGGCAGATTCGAAGGATTTATTTCTTTGGAAAAGTTATTTTAAATACAATTATTTTTGGTAAAACTAATGAAAAATATAACAACGTTGTTTTTTTAAAAGAAAATATTTAAAAAAAAAAAAAAAAAATTCAAATATTATTTTTTGGAATATCTTAGACCCTCAGAGAGGGCCCTGACGGCTCGCCACTGCTTAACACATTTTGTCAGCAGGATAGTCTCCACATATTAACACCACTTTGTGATATTTGAAGCAAATGTAAACGCCAGAAGTAAAAAACGTAATGTTAGGCTATAATCAGACTACGATCACATGACTTAAAGTCACCACCGCTAAGCTAAAGGTGGACTTGTGTCAGTGTGATGACGTTTAGTAGTTCATTTAGTCATTTGTTAGCAACCACCGACACATACAGTAGAAGCTTTGGACATTCACCAGTGGTGTATTTACTGATATACTTTATGTCGTAGAACACAACATTTAAATCTCTTCAGCCTGTGTTAAACACAGACCTTAATTCAGGCTTCTAACTAACACTTTCAATAGAACGTTTCGGAAGTACTAAAATGCTACGTCTTTTCAGGGTTTTAGCACTCATTCCTGCACCACTCTATGATGATTGTTGTTTTATATGACGGTGCCAAAGACAAATTCCCATTTCATGCAAATGTAATGGACAGTAAAGTTATCTGAACCTGAAAATGTTACTGCTCTTAGCTTATGTTCAGACTACGAAAACACTGTTAGATACTGTACACCAGTCACTACGGAGTGGTTAAAATACCCCCTGTCCCAAACACAATGTCAGACTGAGTTATCAAGGAGAAACCAAACTCAGTGTGATTAGGCTGATCTCCTCTAGCTGGGAACAGGCTTAAAGATTATTGACATGTACAAAGAGAATACACCCAACACATTCTGTTTCCACTGACATCCAGGAAGAGGCACATATTCAATCACTGAGTAAATGCATAGAAACACACGGGGCGACAGGTAGACTATTATTAGACTTGTGTTGCTTGGCAACTGACACGCTCTCGGCATGTTCTCTCACCAAAACAGAAACAAGCCATTCATCAAAAACTGTTTGACTTAACCCTGCCATCCAGATAGAATAAAGGTTAAAAAGAGAAATGTTACATTTGGATTTTATATTTAATGGAAAGCTGAAAAAATGGTTTACATAACACCAGTATCAGTTTAATATTAGGTGGTTCATATTGTTATTTATTGGTAAGTTTTTCATTATTTCTTAAAAGTGTTAGTACTTGTTCATCCTAATCGCACACATGAGTGGTCTCTACTGTAGGCTATTTTTATTATATGTATAGCACTTTGGCTCGACCAAAAATCGTTTATAAATGTGCTATATAAATCCAACTTGATTTGAAGATGTCAACAGTCCCCAGTCTCAAAAAACATCATGATTTGCTAAATCTGAGGAGAACAGCTGCTTTAGTTGTAAATACATTACATGAAGGATCAGGAATATAATGATCATAGGCTAATAAAGTATTCCAAGGATCAGAATATTAAACAGTGTATGACTGCAGGATTTATTATCAAGACTGTGATTATATTTAAAATGAGCTCAGAAATAATAATGTGTCATCGCATTTATTTCTATTTTTCTACAAAATGTTGTCCTGGAACCAATTGTAGTTATTGGGTTTACATTCAAAAACGGTGTCTGATTACTTAGTTTTAGTAAATCTCTGCAAAACCCAAAGAAAATTGTCTTGGACTTCAATGGCAGTGGTGGAACAAGTACTCAGATCCTCTACTTAGGTTAATCTAACGATTCTAAATTGTACAAATACTCTGTTACAAGTAAAAGCCCTAAATGCAAAATGTAACTGAAGTTAAAGTACAAAAGTATAAGAATCTAAATATATTTGAGTACCAAAAATAAAAGTAGGCTACTCGATATAGAGTATGGCCCTTTTTGGAATAGTATATCATGAATTACTGTATTATGACTATTAACAGATTTAAGTTGTTTATCTCTTCAGTTATATTGGTAGCTTAACCAATGATGAACAGTTTTTGTGTGTTAAAGGATCATTTGTTAATGTAAACAGTCAGAGCGAGATCAGCCGAGGTCAGCAGATGAGCACAAGTAGTGACATCATGGAGGAGGACGCATCTGTTTGTTTGATCAGCACTGTGTGTGTGTGCTGCCCTAGGTTTAAAACATTTGGGACAGCAGTGAGAATGTTATGAGAACCAATATGTTGGTATATGGTATTTAAAATTGGGCTCGAGTAGAACCCCTGGATTTGGCTTGCAACACAAAGTGATAATGATCTCTGTAGGACTTGGAAGTGTCATGATTCAAAGTGTGGGCCTGTGAAAGAGAGGCCCTTGGAAAACAACATCTATTTTTAACTGTAATTACTTATTTTAAAGAGATTGCAACATTATAATTTTTAAAGAAAACACATTTATTATGCATACAATAAAAACTTCAACAAATATATTGATCCTGGCTTAACCAGCGACCTTTACTCTGTTGTTCATAAGCTCGGTTTCAGAAAACTTGTCAGTAGTTTAACAACTATTTTAATTTTAGTAATGTCTATGGAGACCAATTGGTCGATACGAGAAATAATTTGAAGCAGGCGAGACACGGCAGGCAAAAACATTGTTTTTCAAGTACTGATCAATTTTGAGATTTTGTGCTATTTTGATTCCATAACATGTTTTCTTTCAGGCTTTTGGAAGGAAAACGTACAAAATACACATTTAAGTGTTTATTTAACTATAGTTTGTCTATTTGCGTCTGTAGATTTCTCCTAAATTCACCAAAAGTTAGCATTCTAACGTAACATAAAGTACCGTGACCGCTGTTTGCACCATGCCATCAGAGGTATCGCTGGAAAGCTGTGTCTCTCCTGCACAATCTCATCGGATCCAAATATGGTCATTTCCTTTGTATCAGCAACCAATCGTGAAAGCACAAAGGGGTCTTAAACCAAGAAACGAAATCTCATTGGCTGGTGTCAATTTCTGACAACGTGATTCGTTCAGATGCGTCACGTGGTGTGCTAAAACACTTCCTGGTTAGCTTTCAGCTAGAAATTGAAATCTCAAAATGCCAAAAGAACGGCGAGAAAAACGTTCACAGAGAAGACGACAACAATTGTCACTTGCACGAAGCAAGGTTATACAAAAAACAAATGACCCCGAACATGAAATACCTTCACGGAGTGCGTTGATGCGCAAGCTATCATTCAAAGAACAGGAGGGTTTAGCTAGCGCCTCACTGCAATCTTTAAAGGTCGTTTTCTCAAAATGAGTTTTTTCTCCTACTCTGAGTTCGAAATTTCAACTTCAGAAGCACGTACATACACCAAACCTTCCAGTTATATTCCTATCAATATTATGAAGGCTTTTACAGAAGGGTTTGTTCATATATAATTCATAGCCTGAATTATACAACATTGTATACCTAAAAACATGGCGAAAATGGATATTTTAGGGCTGTTGACAGTATTTTCTGATTTATGGAGTGATAAAAAGAGATATCCAATATCCCTTCTGTAAAAGCCTTAGATACTAATATGACTACAAAATGAAACAATAATTTTGAATCTGGCTATATCCAAAGTTCAGATTTCGATTCCTGAAATGTGTTCAAATATATGCATATTTAATGAAATAATGGCTAATTTGCATATTTAAACATGCTATTTCAGAAAACTTGTAATACAAAAGACAATTGCCTTATTGTAAGTAATTAACTGGAGACATTTCTAGCTGATGCCTTTAAGTTAAAAAAATTACCCTATTCACCTGGGGTGTCTCGCCTTAATAAAGAATGTAAAACTATTTTTAAAACTGTAATTGAACTTCAACTTATATTAATTACCTGATTCCAGTGGCCAGTTGCAATAGATAATCAACAAAGTTTCCATTTTGCAGCAACAGCGCAAAAGGTTTCAATAATAATTAGTATTATGTCTGAGTCTAGTTCTGTCTTATCTGCTTTGTTACGGAATGTGTTCAATACATTACGTTTTTATTCATTATTATTACCATTACAATACATAGATTAAGAATAAATGAAACAAATAATACAACATTGACCTAATTGAGCAGACTGATTTTTTATTTTTTTTTGCAACCCTGATCTCCTCAGGCAGGTCTTTACGACCAGCAGTGATGCCTCTGAGGGTCTCGGGTGTAAGACGGGGCATAGGGTTTATACAAGGTCACAAAGATATCTTAACATACCAGCAATACAATTTAAAATGTATTGTTAAAGCAATATCATCTTATTTTCTTCTTACACCTACAGCGCACACCCTGAACAGTGTGCTTCTTGTTTACATGTTCCTCTGCACACTTAGATGCAGGACATACAAACACTCTTTTGCTATTTATTTTCATTTTGCAGCACATTTATACTACCAGAATTTTGCTTTACATCTTTACATTATTTATTTTTCTCAAGTCATTTACTTTTGGTGAGATAACTAAAGTTTAGTTCATTTTACCCTGGCTATGGACTGATTCCTTATTAGTTGTTACAAAGCATACACAAGACGGCGGGTAGACAAACCAATATAGAGCCCCAATACAAACAATCAGACAAACAAACATGAACTCGCAATAAACACCAGCGTGACAGCAAAGTTCATCCAGCTCAATTTAGTCTGAATTAAGAGGTTTCAGAGGGGGTAGGGAATAATAGATGGGGTACCTTGACTCACAAGTGCTAAGATCGTGCCTGAAGACCATCCAAAAGCGATAACTAGCTTATCCTCTTGCGACACCACTACTCTATTCTAGTGGCGCTATGAACCCCCGACCAGGAGAACATAGACTTTCTTCCGTTCCCCTTTCTCACCAACAACAGCCCAGTTAACTGTAGTCCTACACGACCAGCCTATACACCCGCTATCGTGTTCATCACAACGATGAAACACAGTTTTGTTTTACACTTGCCACTGCCCACCCGTGATCAATTAGCCTATAATTGTATGTATGCACTCCGGACCGCCACCAGCTCCTCTAGCAATGTGTAGGGAACGCTTCCAAGCAATGTAGAGAATGTTCCTCCAGCAAAGTAGAGAGCTGTGGCGCATCGGGTGATGCACGCACCTCGCGCTGCCCCGGCCTTGCCAGCACGTAGAAAACGGTCACAAACAACGAGTGCTTTTAGACCATCTCGTTTTTAATAGAGACGGCGGTGGTGTGAGTTAAAGCTATAGACAAAAAGCTGTGACTTTCTCCTTCTCAGCTGCACTTCTCCAGCCCCACAAACACGGGGAGGTTTTACACACACACCCGCGGCAGCTGGAGCCGTGTTTACAGAGGCGATAGGAGTAATATCTCCGGCTGCTTATTTTCAACTGCTGTGTTGGCCGCTGAAACCCCCAGAATTCGGCCTTGGAAAATATTTCCCCAACACTGAAAACTGTCTTTTTTTACAAAATGTAACATTACCAGAACTTTTATGTTGTAAATTGTGGGAATTTTGATGAAAATATCCTTCATTTATTTACAAGGGCAATACGCTCAAGCCTCCAATCAGGTTGTTTTCTTTACATTTCACAATGTATTTGAAAAAGGTACCATTCAAGCCTTTATTCACTTTGATAAAAAAATGCCTGTTGCACTTTCTTTTATTACCATACAAATCCTGTTCAACAGAGAGTTTGCTCACATTGTGACCTTTAATCTTGATGACCATTTATTGGACTGTTGATGGAATATTTGGTATCCTCAACCTGAGCTCTCTTCTCTCTCCAGGTATTGGTTACGCCTCCGTTGTGATCGTGTCTCTGCTGAATGTCTACTACATCGTCATCCTGGCCTGGGGTCTCTACTATCTGTTCCAGGTAGGTTTGAGAAACTGATGGCAAGAGAAAACGTTTATCTTTCTGTCACCTCCATCACAAATAACTAACATTGTAGGAATAAAACTGGATTTTTATCAAGACAGTTTGACTTCTGATACTCGACCCGTCTGTACTTGTTAGCTGGAATGTCAGCCTTTTTTGTAGAAACACTCTAGGAAAATGTTTCAGGATAAGTAAAAGGGGCCACCAGAGCCATGGTTGGTTCAGAATAATGTACTTATTGGGGAAATCGTGTTTGACTTGAAAAAAATGCGTTATTTGCTTCTAGTTAGACAGTTTGTCCTGTTTATTATTTTATATACCAGAACATCTAAGAGTGTATTGTCACACTTAGGCCATGACCACCTACCATAGAGAAGAGAAGCTGTGTTTAGAAATGTCACCTATTCAGGTCCATAATTATGATACCAATCAGAAGAAAGGCTGTCCTTGAGCTAAATTGTCCTCTAACCTGCTTCTTTATTCCGTTCAGTGTTTTCAGCCGGAGCTGCCCTGGGCCAAGTGCAATCAGCCCTGGAACACGGATCGATGCATCGAGGACACCTTCCGCAAGAACAAATCCCTTTTGCTGGGTGCCAACATCACCAACTTCTCTAACTTCACCTCCCCCGTCACCGAGTTCTGGGAGTGAGTTGCATAAGAGCACACATACATGCTCGTTTACATAACCTGTAATGTTTTCATGTCATCTAATGTGATGTGTCATGTTCAACTAAAGGATAAGCGAGTAGAATGAATGTATTGACTCCTTCAACAATAGTCCATCTGAATCATCACTTGACTATGATTAACTGCACATGTTTGATGGTGTCTTTATCAACAGAGACCCTGCCCTCGGCTTTTATTTTTCTCATTTTGCTGTGTTTGGGAAGTTTCATGGCGTCCATTGATATAAATACGTAGCAAAATACGACAAGATCGTATAAATTAATCTACAGTTCTAAAGGAGACAAGAGGTGGATGTAGTCTAGATTTCTGGACTAATCTTTTGAAGCCTCTAGTTTGCCATTTTTGGCCTTAGCCAGGGCCGGCCCTCGGCATAAGCAGTATAGGCGAATGCTAAGGGCGCATCAACCCATAGGGGGCGCCGAAAAAAAAAAGAAAAAAAAAAGTTAGAAATAAAAAATAAATAAATAAATGTATTTCATAACAACACAATTTCCCGATTTTGGATCAACAAAGTACATCTTATTATAATATACTAACATAACTACGCCTATATTGCGTACAGCGCCCATAAACTATGGCACACACCCCCCCCCAAAATCAAGTTGAACTGCCTCAGTCCCAGAAAAAACCAGAGGTTTATGTGAAATTGTTATTTTTTTTGAAATAATGGTTTTAGTGTGAAATTATAAGTTTTAATTTTGTATTTGAATTCATTTAAAATAAATCAAACTCCCAAAAAACGTACACAGCTTCTGTGTGCTTTTATGAACATTGGAATTTACTGTGTAAGCGGCCGCGGGGGGGGAGAGCTTTAGAGAGCTCTCTCCTGAAAGACTGAGAGGCTCTGATAACCTCAGCTCAGTGAGGTAAAGGCACACCTTTTATATGATCATTATAGTTATAAAAAAATAAAAGAATAGGTGAAAAACAGGTATAAAATACTGACAGTACAAAAAAGTTGTTATTAATAAACAAGAATACAGTTTGAAAGGGGAGTGATTTGTAAAATATCCATAAAGAAAATCTGCTTACAGTTCTGTTTCATATGGTTGTTGAGAGATGTATCCATAGATCTCCTAATTTTGCTCTTAAAGTGCACCAGATTGATGCTTTTAACTTCAATATTAAAAAAAAGTCTTCCCAGGGGTGCATGCCCCCGGACCCCCCTAGAGGAGGTGAGGTCCCCCCCCCCCCCCCACTTAAATCATGTTCAAATGGATAGGAAACTAAATACAGTTGCACACATCTTGTGTCAATATCTTTGTTTTGGTGGTCATGCCACAACTGTGCACGCGCGAATCATAGTGAGTGTCTGCATTTTGGGGGGGGGGGCGCCAGCTAAAATCTTGCCTAGGGCAGCAAATTGGTCAGGGCCGGCCCTGGCCTTAGCCATCTTGTTCTTTTTATTATCTACAGTTGACACTAAAGGGTAGCGCTTAGAAAAACTGTTGGATGTTGAAGAATAAATATTATTCTACCAAAATATGATTAACTTTCCACAGCTAAATAAAGGGGGTAACGTGTAAAGTACTAGTTCTACCAATGCCCCTAAGCATACCCTTCTATCATCTATTATCCATTTGACTCTAAATGGAACCATCATTTACTAAATTAACCTAATGCTGTATTGAAGACACATTATAAGTATGTTAACGGGGTAGAAAATCAAGTTGTATGTTCATTTTCATAGACTTCTATGCAATCTGACTTTGAAGTTCCGGAAGTGCCTTTTTAATCCGTATTTTGTCTAATGACCAAAAAAGGCACTTCCCACTTGGCTTCAGTTTTCAGAGCTGAAGGGTGGCTGCTCGACGTGGACACATTAGAAAAACTCAAATGAATGAATGGTGGCATGCTTTTATTTTCTAGAATATTGAGCTGGTAGTCTGGTTTGTCACCCCAGTCAAAGACCATACATTCAACTGTTCAAAAGAAAAATAGTAGATTAGGTTACACAGTTATTTGGTTGATACACATAAACACTTCCACACATGTGACTCGCCCACTTGATTAACTTACATTTGATGAAATCCACTGTAGCTTTTTGTCACTGTTACATAATGTCTTAAGTTGAACAGATGGACCCATACGCTTACGAAGCTTTCCTTTCTGTGTTGCAGACATAATGTGCTGGGCATCAGCAATGGGATCGAGGATATAGGTCCTGTTAAATGGGATCTGGCTCTGTGTCTTCTGCTGGTCTGGGTCATCTGCTTCTTCTGCATCTGGAAGGGAGTCAAGACTACTGGCAAGGTAAACAAATGTTTCTGTGAACCTTTACTTTCTGGTTTAAAGTTGATTTTATTTTGTCTTCCACTGTTAATACGGAGGAAAACATTTACTTGTAGTTTTCCTCTGTAGAAAATGACAAACTGTAACATATTTTAAAGAGCTTTTCCTAAATGTGCCTTTATTTTCTGTATTGTGTTCTCTCTCAGGTGGTCTACGTCACAGCAACGTTCCCTTTCGTCATGCTCATCGTTCTGTTGATCCGTGGTGTGACCCTGCCGGGAGCTTCTGCCGGCATCAAATTCTACCTGTACCCCGACCTGGCTCGTCTGCAGGACCCAGAGGTAGGTGCCGTTGTACTGCCTGAGTGAGAAACCCTCAACATAGGTCTCCTTTTAGAGTCACTGTGTCTAGCCAAACATCTACACACGTTGCTTACTGTTGAAGAAGTGAAACGTCTTTCTGGTTGCAAATAAAATGTGAGAAATGTAATTTAAAATAATTGTTATCCAGGTGTCATCATCGCTAACTTTTGGGACTGTTTAGTCTGAACAGAATAGTTAGACTAGATTTCTACATACCCTGAAGTCCCTAGTCCCAGTGTTACCAATGACCTAAAGAAACAAAATGTAAATTCTAGTATATTGGAAATATTGACAGCTGTAACGTTAGAGCATCAAGCTAGCGCAGCAATATATGACTTAGCTAGCTAGCTTGCATTTATATCCCGGTTCCAATTCCTGGTAGTCCAATTCTGGCAAGACACCGGCATTGCTAACCGCCAGCATTTACACTAATTCTCACTATTATAAGTCAGTCTAGCCTCAAAATGATTTTAAAGCTGGCATTTTAGGGTAAAATCATCACATACATTAACTAAATATCCACCCAGCTAGCTTCGCTAGATATTACCCATGCCTTGTTATTCCCTTCATCAGCAGGCCTCAGCCTTTTTGTATTCGCTCTCTCCTCCTACTTACAGGTGTGGATTGACGCCGGTACCCAAATCTTCTTTTCCTATGCCATCTGTTTGGGCGCCATGACCTCCTTGGGGAGCTACAACAAGTACAAATACAACTGCTACAGGTGAGGCATCAGTTTTCAGTGAGGGGTTAGCGGTAGTGGAGAGAGGGGGAGACGGGATCGTTGTGTGTTCATTAACAAATCCTCCTCATGACATATGTGTGACATAGGGACTGTTTGCTGCTGGGAGCCCTCAACAGTGGTACCAGTTTTGTGTCTGGCTTCGCAATATTTTCCGTCCTGGGCTTCATGGCACAAGAGCAAGGGGTGGACATTGCTGATGTGGCAGAGTCAGGTACGAGGGTTCTGTAAAGGTGGCAGTGATGGTGGGCGCTGCTTTCCTGGTTAACAAAATAAACGACAGTAATGACAAAGAAAAACAGCAACGAATCCCTAAAGAGAATTAGCCAATGTGTTTATTTTCGGCCAAATGAATGGTAACTTGGTATTAAAAGGATTCCTGGATTAATTACAAATGACGGCATCGGTATATGGAAGTTTCCGCAATCAAACACTACTTGACAAAAGCAGAATGTGAGAAAATATCTGATCGGTTTATTAGCGCATCATTCGAGTGAATAAAGTTGAATGGATTTGGAAAGAGATTTGGAAGAGAGAGATGTTGGAAAATGTATTTAGTTTTCAAAAAGATTAAGAGTTAGACCTAAGCCTAACCCTAAAAGGCATAAAGAACAAGCTAGGGTTTACACAGAACAAGCGGTGTGGGGACATACAATGTATCCTGTGCCAGTGTGCTAGCCTAAACATGCACAAGAGTTTTGGTCCTGAGAGGTTCCTTTTCTACCTTCATGTAACAAACTGATGTGACCATTGATGTGGTTCCTATCTGGTTGACTGACACATATGGTGTTATAAGTTGTTTCTACAAAAGGTTTTTTAGAATTGGCAATCTTTCATGATGTCATATTTTGTGATTTAACAAAGTTAGCCCAATTCAAGCCAGGAGCCATGCCTGGTTTTCTGATACAATCAGACTAAGGATTTTATTAATGCTTGTTTTTCACATCCCAAAGCAAAGAAAATATGAATGTTGGCTTGCTTTAAAAATATATAGTTAAGATTACACTTTAAGAAAGGTGTTAGTACACCAACAGTTAAATCTGTTTTTATCTAGAACAACTATTGGGTTTGTTTGGAAAGTTTGAATCTCGTCTTTTCTTGATTTAACTCACTTCCTTTACATGCTTAAGATATAAGGCATTCTGTTTGAAATCAAATGAGACATAAATTTGCAACTTTTCATGTTTGCTGATAACATAGCAATGATGTTGTTACTGTAAAATGCTTTTGTGAAACCCAGGCTTTAAGTATTTCCCCAAGATCATCTAGGTTGATAGTGCAAATTTAGATTAGTGCATTCCGCTTACTCCAAACACTGACTATGCTGCCAACCCAGTCGATACGAATATTGGACAATTCTGTGGTCTCCTATTTGCATTGCCATGCCATTTTTTTTGGATGGCCCATTTGTCCGACAGCTCATTATCCCAAAAACCAAAGGCCCATTGTTCCAAAAATACACTCTCTCCAAAAAACAGATGCCCATGACATCATCAGGCATTCCTACTATGGCGGAGGCATGACTCGCCCTACTGGCTCTGGTTGGATTTGCCTTACTGCCAATGCCTAAACATGACCAGCTCAACCAATAAAGGCAAAGATTACAGGTCTGATCAATACATTCTGCATAATAAATAGACATGTTTTATGCAGAGACAATTAATTAGACAAGTTTTCTGGAGCAATCGACCTTTGGAACAATGGGATTTGGCTCCAATTGGAAATGTATCAGACTTTTTGAGTTTTGGAATAACGGGCTTTCAGACCGATGGGCAAAGCCCCAATTTGAGCAGAATTATCCAATATCAACGTTGTGTTTGGTGAGTGGGTTGATGCCTCACAGGTTAGCAAAGTATAAAAAGGAACTAGGCAGAGCAACAGGGAACTCAGTTGTTAATGGAAAGGTAATGTTGTCCTTTAGGTTGAACAATAGAGTTATTTGAAAGTGTAGGGAAATCTCAAGTAAGTCTGCCTTAACTGCGATTACTCGATTCCCTTGTACTTTGTATATGAATGTTATCAATTCAGAGACTCAGCTGACTAAATATACAGAACTCATATATCATGCTACTACGAACAAGTCTGTTCTAAAAAATAGGTTTAAATATGTAGTATTTTGTGTTTTGTAAAGTTGTACAGTAATGATATCACACTGTTTGATGGTGATTTTATTTTACGATTTTGATATACTTGATTAGCGTTCTGTTAGCATCTCAGGGAATAGAAGTTGTTAGTTGTTAGTCAACGCGGTGTTTGGTTGGATGCCTTGTCATTATTTGCAACAAAAGCTGAACATACTTACATACTGTATGATGCTATCAGCTGCGATGCTGTTTTGCTGTTATGGCTGCTTTCTTGTTTTTTAACTTCTGTTTTCACAGTTTCCAAGTTAGCATCTACGTCAATTTAGACCTCTGGTATTAAAAAAGAAAAAAAAGAAACCTTTTGCTTTTTATTTGACAACTCAGTTAACATCAGCTGCTGTTTTGTTTGGGCTGTTTTTGCATTCCTCATAGAGACACTATTTCTTAGTTCAGTCAGGGATGCAAAATGGCTACAGTGATGTAGGTGTTATTTAAAAATTATATTATTTGAGAAAAGCCAAGCCTTGATTAACCTTTTCCAGGAGTTAACTGTCTTCCAGCTGCCTGGAAAGGTGAATCAAGCACAAGTAGGTTAAATATTTCATAAAGTACCTGCAATGTTGGATCTTTGGTCCTTTAGGGAACTCAACACACATATACAATCCTCTACATTATGTACTTGTATATATTATTTATATTATCCTTCACAACTTCTCTCTTATTTATTTCCGCAGAGATGCAGTAACACACTTCTCAGAACAGTTTACTTTAATTACTATACTTGACCTGTTCTTTATAGTTGTTCTGTTTAACTTTGTTATAATACTTTATGTTTTTAATGATAAGAAGTCATCGTAAATAGTAATACATAGTTTAATGTGTTAAGTGCACAAAGTTAGGGATCTTGTACGTAATATTTATAAAAAAGGAAGATTCGGGTAAGTAAAGATGTGTATAAGACATTCTTAATACCTGTTTATTCACAACACCTAACGCTAAATACCAAAACATAACACATAACCGTGTAAATGCAGAATGGTAGCACAGGTTAGATCATAAATTCAAATCTGGTTTTGCATCTCCTTTGTTTGGGTTTTCTTTTTCCCACAGAGAGGCAGATCAGATGAGCTTATCGTAATACTAATGTTCCCTCCCCCCCATCCCTCTCTCTTTGCTCTTACCCCAACCCCCCTCCTCTGCAGGTCCAGGCCTGGCGTTCATAGCCTATCCCAAGGCTGTATCCATGATGCCTTTCCCTACAGTGTGGGCAGTGCTCTTCTTCGTTATGCTGCTGCTGCTTGGCCTCGACAGTCAGGTTAGCAAAAATATATATGAAGATAAATGAACTTTAATCTCAGAAATCAGACTTTTTCTCAGAATTCAGAGTTTAAAGTCATAATTCTGACTTGACTTGGTCAAATCTCAAAAGAAAAATGTATGTGGCCCTAATCATTTTCTATAGGTATTTGTAGGCAAACAATAAATGGTGTCTAATTGACATGGGTGAGGAAACCAACATACATTTGACCAACAAAACGTGAATTACCGTATGTGGGTTTGTTTAATGTGATGGAAAATTCGGAGGGGAACTTAAAAACAGGGGGGGGCCCTAACATGTTATATTTGCTAACAAGAAAAAAGTACATTGTATCGAAAGAAAAAATAAATACTGTGTATTGCATAAAAGAAAATGTACAAAAAAGGAATAAATACATTTAATCAGCTTTAACCAATTCAATAGATGCAGAAATGAGACACAAGTGATGCTTTTAAAAGGATGGGCACTAAATATGCGTAAGGTTAATCATGCTATCTTTTTTAAGAACTCTTTTTGTATTCCCTGCAGTTTGTGGAGGTGGAAGGGCAGATCACATCACTGGTGGATCTGTATCCGTCCTTCCTAAGGAAGGGTTACCGCAGAGAGATCTTCATCGCTATCATCTGCAGCATCAGCTACCTGTTTGGACTCACCATGGTTACCAAGGTAAAAAAAACTGCCAACAAAAGAGACCAGCATTTATGTAACAGTGCAAAAGTCAATCAACAGTTAGGGAAATGGCTATTTTGGATACATTTGTCCACCACACTCACAGTAATGATCAAGTTTAAACATGCACACAGTACATTTTGAGAATCGTATATAAACACTATGGCTGCTGACTTTATTCCGAGCTCTAACCCCTGATGAATACACCAGGAACAACAGCGTTCATACAGCTATTAGTGTCAGTCCCCGGGGGGGTGACAGAGGGCTATTTATACTGCCAAGTCATGAGAACTTCCCTTCCTGTATTATTAGACCCAGCTTTTCCAAATATCTTTTTCCTATTCATGTCTATTCTTTTCATCATGTCTTTCCTTCATGTCCTCTCATTCGCATCTACTCTTTCTCTATAGTTAATTTTCTCTGTTCTGATATTCTTCCTCTTTGCATCACTCATGTTCCTTCTCTGTTTTTCAACCTTATCTGTCTTGAAAATTCCACATTTGCTCCCCTATTAAGTATACAGTCACACCATTGTTATGGATGATCCTCCTAACACTTGCCCTGTAGCAAAATACCCTTTTCACTCCAGACATTTTGACTCGCCAAATACAAATGTAACTCATTATCTCCCAAAACTTTGCTATTCTGCATGCTGGCTCACCGAGGCTTAGCAAGACACATACGGAAAACCCAACAGAATCCCAGTCAGTTGTTACATTTGAGTTTTTTATGGCCAGTCATACTGAAGCATATCAAAACATCTATTCAGGCTGCTGAAATGTTAATATTATGACCTTTATTGAAAGGCCTTTATGGTCCTCATCCTCCCTCTCACACTGTCATTCTATTTCCTGCCTCCCTCGCTCCCTCTGTTATTCCCATGACAACATCTTTTTATGGCTCCGGTGGCCTGGTTCAACTTTAGGATTCCCATGATCGTTAAAACAGTCTCTCACTGGACACCTACACACACACGCACACACACACACACACACGAGCAAAGACAGATGTGTACATACACACTCAGAAACAGTAGCAGACTCACATTTAGTTAAGATATTTATAAATGTTATTTTTATATAGCACCTTCCAAAGAGTTACAAAGTGCTTTACATAAAAACAAAACACCTTTTTAAAATGCACTGACACTAAAATCAATTAAAAAAAAAACGCTACTTAACACATTATAAAACACAGAGGGTCCAACAAATCGAATGTGATAAAACACTAATAATCTGATCCATTAAACACATTATAAAACAAAGACAGACAAACAAACAAAAAGTAATAAAACATCAATTAACTTGCATAAAATCCATTTAAAAATGTCAAAGGCTAAATAAAGCTCTATTTAAACTGTATGTAACGCAAGAAACAACAATATGGACCCTGAGCATGTTTTCTGTTGATAATGAGATTGAACAATATAAAATATTGCCTGAAATGTACTCTTGGAAAAGTGTGTTATAACATCCTGTATTTGTGTTTCTCCGCAGGGTGGCATGTATGTTTTCCAGCTGTTTGATTACTATGCAGCTAGCGGTGTGTGCCTTCTGTGGGTGGCATTCTTTGAATGTATAGCTGTTGCCTGGGTTTATGGTGAGTAGCATTTGGAAATATATATATATAACAAAATATTGTGAGCCTGTAGGATGTTTACTAAATAAATAACTAGTTGATTTAAGTGCACAGGAAATTATTGGCTCTCATGTATTGTTTTATAATGTCTGCGTGCACTGAATCAGACGTCTGCTTGTCTTTGCACTCTCTCTAAGAGCATCCACTTTGGGATAGATAACAGACTCACAGCAAAGTCCATTTAGAAACAGCTAATCTATCTGTCCACACTGGAAATGCACTGGGACATTTTTAAATATACATTTTTACAGGGAAGTATTTTACATGGTATTTTGGATGCAGGTTACTGTTAGCCAAAAATCCTGGAGAAGATTGTCTACAGTCAAATTATGTTTTTTCCGGAAGAGAACAATATACTGGAGGTTTTCCAATCCGGTTTGAAAACTATGCACAGCACTGAAACAGCGCTTTTAAGAGTTTTGAATGACATCCTTTTATCTACTGACTCTGGGGACTGCGTTGTGCTTCTACTCATTGACTTAACTGCTGCTTTCGATACAGTCGACCATGACATCCTGATCTCTCGCTTGGAGCAGTGGGTGGGCATTGAGGGGAAAGCGCTGGAATGGTTCCGGTCATATCTGAAGGATAGAACTCAGTCTTGGTGACTCCGAGTCATCCTCTGCTCCACTCCTGTATGGGGTCCCACAGGGCTCAGTATTAGGCCCCCTGCTATTCTCCCTCTATTTGCTCCCTCTTGGGTCCATACTTAAAAAGCACGGTATCACATTCCACTGCTATGCTGATGATAGCCAGATGTATGTCCCACTAAAAAGGAAGGAGGGTTACTCAATTAGCCCACTGCTAAAGTGTCTAGAGGACATAAAGGCCTGGATGGCGTGCAACTAAGGCAGCTATCCAAAGTAAAACCTTTTCTCTCCAGACAGCAGTTTGAGACAGTAATCCACGCCATTGTCACCACTCGGCTGGATTACTGTAACTCTCTCTACATGGGGGTCAGTGGGTCCTCCCTCGCTCGTCTGCAGCGGGTGCAAAATGCCGCAGCAAGGCTTCTAACTGGCACACGGAAATATGACCACATTTCCCCCGTTTTGGCTTCGCTCCACTGGCTGCTAATACATTTTAGGATTCATTTCAAAATCATTTTATTTGCTTTTAAATCCCTAAATGGCATGACCCCACCATATCTTTCTGAGCTGCTACACCCTTACACGCTCACCCGCCCTCTCAGGTCAGCGGATCAACTGCTCCTGAATGTGCCCAGAACCAAGTCAAAGCTCAGAGGGGGCTGTTGCTTCTCTGTAGCGGCTCCCACACTGTGGAACGATCTGCCCCCGCACATCAGACAGGCCGCCACACTGTGGAACGATCTGCCCCCGCACATCACACAGGCCGCCACACTGTGGAACGATCTGCCCCCGCACATCAGACAGGCTCCCACACTGTGGAACGATCTGCCCCCGCACATCAGACAGGCTCCCACACTGTGGAATATCTGCCCCCGCACATCAGACAGGCTCCCACACTGTGGAAGATCTGCCCCCGCACATCAGACAGGCCGCCACACTGTGGAAGATCTGCCCCCGCACATCAGACAGGCTCCCACACTGTGGAACGATCTGCCCCCACACATCACACAGGCCTCCACACTGCCTGCTTTTAAATCGCTTCTTAAAACCCACCTCTTCTCCTTAGCGTATTAACATCTTTTAGACTGTTGCTTTTATTGCTTTTAAATTGTCTATTGTTTTTACTTGTACTTGTTTTATGGTGTGTGAGCTGTGCTGTGTTATTTTGTGTATGTTTTGTTTTGTTTATTTGACTGTACAGCACTTTGTTCTGGAGGTTTAAAGTGCTCTATAGATGAAGCTGTATTGTACTGTGTGCCTACAAAGGAGAAACTAACCTTTAGGTCAACATTTTTCGGACTGGTTGACATAAATAACAACCTCAACTTACATCCCTCATTCCCTCATGTTTTATGTTTTGTGTTAAGCATTTTGAAGTACCTCTGTGCCCGAACATCATCTTGTATTTTTGTGGTGCATTCTGTGACTCAGTAAGAATTGAATTGCAAAAACTAATAAGAAGGTGTTTTACTGTTTTTATAGGTGCTGATAATTACTATGATGCACTTGAGGACATGCTGGGCTACAGACCAAATGCTTGGATGAAATATAGCTGGAGTTATATCACTCCTATACTGTGCATGGTAAGATAGTTGTTATTGTAAGTATCAGCTGTTTGGTCTGCCAAAGACCTTTTTAGAAAGAGTTTGACTTCTTATTCCTCTTTTTTTTAACCACCATTATTCTGCTTCCTCTATCTCGTGCTCGTGTCATGATGATGTTGGCATGTTTCTTAAACACACATTTCGCCATTTCAAATTGGTAAATTGAAATACAATCTCCATCCGCTTCAACCTTCTGTATATGTTTCATCAAAATGTCTTGAAAGAAGGTGAAAAAATATATAATGAAATAATTGAGTAATTATATATACTCCATTGGCACCCTTTAGTATATATTACGAGTTAATATACACTCAACAAGGCTGTTGTTATGTCCCTTTGGGGTACAGCACATTTAGATTTCTGATCAATTGGAAAAATAAGAAACCAAAAAATAAATAAACTTTGAACTTTTGTAAAGCAGACATTGAACTGTTTTCAATGGTCATTTGACTAGTTAAAAAATAAAATGGCGGTTGTAAGTTTCTATGGTGAGAATACACATACGTTGAAAAAAAGTCAGTTTGTTCGCAGTTCCCAGCAGACCAACAGTTACACTGATCGCAGCCTCTGGCAACAAGCCTGCTGTTCTTCTAATTTTACTGTAACCAGCGTGGCATAACTAGCTAGCTAGCAAGCAAACTAGCGGCTAACTACCTACTGAATAGTTAGTTTTAATACTCCGCTGGTTTCAGAACATGAACTGGACTGAGTTGTCACTCATCTCACAATATTAATGTGTTACAGACTGTCTTGATTTGTCAAAAATAATTTGTCCCAAGTTTAATTAGAATATTGAAAAACCTAAGTACAGATCAGAAATCAGAATCAGAAATCCTTAGCCTAGCAGCGTGGAAAATGACAGCGTTACGGCCCGTCCACATGGCGGTGTGCGTTGAAGCTTCAACGCTTCTTCCCATTCACTTTGAATGGGGTGATGTCACGCTTTGCCGAACTGCATTGTGGTTGCGTCGCTTCGCTTTGCTCGCTTCAAAAGTTGAGCAATGTTCAACTTTTGAAGCTTCGACGGAAGCGTCAGCCAATCGAATCATATGCCAGTACAAACTCTAGCCAATCAAACCGCGTGCTTGTGTGTCCGGGGCGGGAGATTCATGTGATTGGTTCTTGGTCGAGTTTCAGACACGCCCGCCGGCAAGCTTCAACGCACGCCGCCGTGTGGACGCTGCGTTACAGCAGAAGTGACGGAAGCAAAAATGTAAAGAGCAATCTCACATGAAAATTATAGAGACAAGCAAACGTTAATAAAACAACAAAAATAAGGATAAAGAAAGCAGCAGTAACAGAATTGTTTAAGTTAAATTCCTGTATAAAGGGGTTGTCAAATACATAGTCATTTGTGAATGGTAATGTCTGTTCTGTTCCTCTCCTATGTGAAACTATTTGTATTTGAACATTTGTTCCTCTTCCTCTCCAGGGCTGCTTGATCTTCTCCTTGGTCAAGTACAAGCCACTGACGTACAACAAGGTCTACGAGTATCCTGAATGGGCCATTGGAATTGGTTGGGGTCTGGCCTTGACCTCCATGATCTGCATCCCCATGGTGGTTGTGATCAAGATCCTCCGTTCTGACGGGCCGCTCATCGAGGTGGGTGGAGTAACCTTATGGTTCAGTTTTGTTTTGTAGGTTATTTTAGATCATAGATGCTCATTCCTGTTGTGGAGGAAATTCAAATTCCCTGAGAGAAACTGATAAATTATTCTTTGACAAAGTTTGTCTTTTGTTATATTTAATAAAGTAATAAAGAAAGTCAAAACACAAGTGAAATCGATCTCCAATGCAGGGACAGAACTTAGTCTTTGTTCTGTACGCAGAATACAGTAACAGTCACACTATAAATTCATGAAAGGAAGCAGCCAACTGGTCCCACCCATAAACTACCGTAGGCTTTTCTAAATACCCCCACCATTAAACCATACAACCCTCAGTCCTTTAACCATTTGCAAATCTCTTTTACCCCCGGTGGAATGTCAGCCCTTAACACATGTCTGTTACGCACATACAAGACAAAAGATACAACTTCAGAGTAAAATACATAATGTATGCTTATCTGTGATAATATGATAATAAATGATGATATGAGAATTTGACACAACACCTGTGAATTCTTTATTGTAGGTACAAACCTTAAAAAAGAAAGCCCTTCCTTCACATATCTGTGCTTCATCCCTCCTTCCTTTCTTCTCCCTTCTTCTCTGCAGAGGATCAAAGCGGTGGCAGCCCCGATTCGCGGGGGGGCCAGCTCCCGCCCCGCAGACCACCGTGGCCTCAAGGAGCTCTCCTACCCTCTGGACCCCAACGGGAACAAGGGCCTGTTGATGAAGGCTCCCACCCACACCATCGTAGAGACCATGATGTAAAGGAATGAGGCGGAGGCTCTCTATGAGAACGCTCTCCTCTCCTGTCCTCTGAAATGCTTCTAAAGCTTGCTAGTTTTCTGTCTATCTGTCTATCTGTCTGTCTGGTGGACTGATAAGGGTTTTAAGGAAGAAAAAAAATCCCCCGGTTTCAAATCTTCTAGGAATACTTTGCAAGTAGTTTTCTCTTGGTGGGTTTTCTTAAGAGGGTAGCAATCACATTTCAAATCTATTTCTGAAACAATTAATGGTGCTGGTCTTTTTTCCCCGTGACTAAATGTCCCACTCTTAACTTGTTCAAAGGCAGAGTGGCAAATTACCACCAGGCTCCGGTCATACGCCGGTACATTTGTTTACGCTAATTTTTCCAGAAAATCGGATCTAAAAATGGACAAAAGTGGTCATTGAGTATTTGAATCAAACAGCTTTTTGTAACCACCGAATGAAAAATGATTAACCAAGAGATCACAGATAACCATCAAACGTTTTTTTTTTGTCATGTTCTTTGAAAATATAACAGCTGTGTGACTGTGATACAATGAACTGGGTGCACTTAGCTGAGGGCAAGTGCCATTGGGTAATTTTGATTTATTCTAGTTTATTTATCCAGTTGAGATGAAGTAGAACATGGAGTGGGTACAGCATCATTAATTAAAAAAACATCTGTTTAACCCAATGCACAATTAAATATAGACATCTATGAAGTCACATGTTTCCCTTTTGAAATCAGCAGTTCTTGAGAGAACATTTTGGCAAGACTTTCGTGAGAACTATGACCAACCTACATTTCAAAATGTGGCTTTGAAGTGTCTCAATCTCATACATCCTCTAGATTTGTTTCTGTGCTACAATAGATTATACTACTACACAGAATTCCCAATAAAAAATCCAAATGTAGAATTGTCACAGCCATGATTGCCAACAACCGCAAACAAACTAGCATTCTGGTTTTTGCACCTTAGCACACTTATCCCCATCTTCCATAGCAATGAACTATGGGTCAAAGAGAAACTAGCACTGAACGCATCAGGAAACCCGCTCCTGCTGAAAGACAGAGGTATCTGAAAGGATTTGAAGTGTGGAGGTTGAACCCTTGAGTGTGTTGTCTGTGGCGTACTGTACAGTAGTAGCTAATCAGTCTATCTATATCTATCTCTCTATCTATCTTTCTCTGTCCTAGACCAGTTTACAGTACATTAGTGACTGCACTAGGCGCTCTTGGCTTACAATTTTTGGATTGGATTATTTTTTATTTTACAGGGGAAGTTACATTGTTATTAGTTGTTCCTCTGTCATTGTTTAGATTTTTTTATTATGACTATAATGTTATTGGTATTCACTATTGATGATAATCGCTGTAGTTAAAGGAAAACGTCTTTTATCGGGCGAACATTTCAAGCTACAAATCGTACATATACAGTGGCAGCCATTGTAGTAATAATCCTCTTTGTTGATTTCCTGCCAACTATTCCGTCTTTTTATTATCAAAAAAAACCAAACAATGCAACTGATTTATCCCAAATATTTTCTCCTGTGGTAGTGTGGGTCAAACATTCAGTGAGCAGTTCAATGTACTGTGAAACAAGGGAATTCTACAATGTGAGTTCCTGGTGTCGGGAGTTTATAGCTTATACTGTAAATATCAGGGGCCATTATTCCATTTGGATAAATTCGGCTAAACAACACGGTAATACAACATGTCACCCCAGCGTCAGACTGTCCGATCGTCTGAGGGTCAATATACTTTCCAGACACTGAAATGTGGCAGCTGGCTGCAGACAAATCAGAGCCAGTGATTGACAATGAATGAGATTAGTCATGTTGTTGCTCAGTTTATGATTTCAAACCCCAAATGTTCTAAAGAGCAAATGAAAAGCTAGCTAACCACTCATTGACACCTCCATACAGGGAATTGGGTGTCAAGTCAGGATAAATGTACTTCTGATTTAGTTAATAAAAGCTGTGAACTTAGACACTGTACAAGATAATGATACCGGGAAGTTTATCTGACACCGGTAAAACGGCAGACTATTTGAGAAGTATGACATTTACATTCCCCTGTAAAGTCCAACATTTGTGCGTTCTGGGTGAGGAATACTCAATTAAAATCAATCAAAATTGATGTTTCTGTCTTAAAAGCCACACAGATTAGAAAATCATGCATTTACCATACTTTCTTTATCAACAAACCTGGGCAAAAATAATGAAAGAGTGAGTCAATGCGACTTTTTTTTGCACCTTATTTGTCAAATCTGGCTTTCATATAAAATGATGAGGTCAACAAACTAAACACTGCCATCATTTTAAAATAGATAAAAATGTTAAACTATTCATTCACATGCATTATACAGTTACACAGTACATGTGCATTGCAGGAATTTGACCTACAACATCACATCAGAAGTGATTCTTGAGACCATGGCCTCATTATTGTGTGTCATAAGCTTTGATTATTGTTTTTGTCACTTTATTTAATTTCTTTCGACTAGATAAAGTAGCTCATATCGTTAAAAGGGATTTGTGAAACCAAATCCGCAGCAGACATCTATTTTCATACAGTAACAAATGTTTCCTATATAAGTCGTCTTTGTACAGCTAAGCTCCCACTGCAGACCTCCCATTTTAATACGGATACAAAGCTTCATTGTATTCTTAAACTTTTGTACAGATCTGGCTCTTGATTCCCCTGAAGGATCTTTACACTGGTTAGAAAAATGGACATAATGAAATAAAAGATCTGCCAGCATCTGAAACCATTTTTAGAATATATAAAAAATGAGTTTGAAAACAAAAATGGACTGTTAAATATGCTGTCTTTTCTTTAATGTTGTCTATGTTAAGCCAATAAATTACTACTTTTCTGGATTCAGCATTTCTAAGATGCACAAAATGGAAAGAAAGACATTTTTTATTTAGGGAACTTTAAGAACCTGCAACGTTTTGACAAATAATGAAAACACAGTCAAAAAACCTGAATCAAACATTCCCTAGTGCTAAGATCCTTCTTTTGGTTGGGAAACACGGGCCAGAGATAATACTTTAATGCAGTCATTTATCCGTTGCCTCTGTGTGTATTTACGGTATGTACCAGTCCCTCTGCCTTCTTACACTCCCTTCAGTTAGCCTGTGTAAACCTTATGTTAAGCTAAGCTAACCGTTTTTTTATCAGAGTTGATGAATTTGCAAGAGAATCGAAGCATTAGCAATGCACAAGTTTTTACCGCCGAATGTGGAAATGTGAAAGTCACCTGCGGGTGAATGTAAAAGTTTCTGAAGATAGATCTTTTTTTATTTGTTTTATTGAATTCAGCAGTTTTATTTTTGATTGTGTTTCTGTCACATTTGCCTTTTGTATTCCAAATAGTGTATTTGAACCTCTGTCATTGGAGTAACATGTACAACTACCAATCAACCAAAAAAAAAGCTACGATTTGTCACGTGCAATACTTTGTAGAATACTTTTATTTTTCCTGCTGTTTTCCTCAAAGGTAGGTGACCTGTGAATTCTTGATGAAGAACATTTGAATCTTCAGGGTCCAGTCAAATTAAATCCTGCCACAAAATGTGTGGAGACCAAACACAAAATGGTTTGAAATGCACTGAGACTAAAACGTTGTCACATCAAAACTGAATTTCCTAGTGAAATGCTATTTTTTATTTTTGTGACAGACCGCTAAGTGAGTTTGTAAGAGGTATAAAACACAGTAACACTGCCACTAAGCCCACCATATTTGTACTTTTTTTATTTCAGTACTGCTTTTTTGCTAAAAATCTGACAATTCCAAAAGCTTGCATGATTTTTTAAATGAGCAAAAACATGCAAAAAGATTAACGATATCTGAAAAAAGTGAACCAGTTCCCTCTATAAGGGTTGTAGGTGTCTTGCTTGTGATAGAACAAATATCTTGGAATAGTTTTGGCTGCTTTGGAAAGGCCTGCCTCTTAGTAACAATAGCTGTGTATGTATAATGAAAAAAAACACCATATCAAATGTGGGCTTTTCTTTTAGAACTTTGTATGCCATTTTTACATTCTGCTTATCCCAATATTTCTATTTTAATCCAACCCCACTTCGTCAAACCCTGCAACCTCAGTGCTTTATAAAAAAAAAAAGTGGACAACCAAACTACATCTACGGGAGCAGAATTGAAATCCCATCATGTTCATCTCTGTTATGAAAAGGTCAACATATCTGCAAGATTCATAATCTCTCTCATTGGCTGTTTCTGTGATGAATCTTCGGGCTCTAGAGGTTAGAAGATAAACGGGACTTCATTTCCTTAAAACAAATATCATGTTTGGTTTGAAGTCTGATAAATATTTGACCTAAATACATATTTGGCATTTTAACTTTGATCATGTTCTATCTCAAGGTTAACAATGACACAAAAGGCTGTAAAATTATCTTTCCTCCTTCTTACTTAAATGCTGGTAATCTCAGCGCTAAGCCCTCTGGGAAATGGAGTCCCAATCATCCTCCATTTTGATCATGGTCTCCAATGACAATGCCTCAGTCTTTCCTGCATTTTACTTGCCAGCCCTCCTTTTTGAGAATGTAAATGAGAAAATGTTTTTTAATTCTTAGTGAAGAAAAAAACATTTTTTGAAAGAATTTGAAAGGTTTTATTTTTTATTTCTATGGCCAACCTGTAAGCTAGGTAAAAAAAAAAAGAAAAGTGTTTGAACAGGTTTTACAAAAGGTGTAAAACTTTTTTTATTTCTTAATAAAAAATGTGTCTTCAGAAAATGAACTCATGAGTTTTATGTCCCTGCATGATTGCTCATAATATTTGTATGTTCAGATTGTATCGTTACAACGCTTGCACAACAAAAGAAACGGTTAAATAACGGCACACCCACAGTTGAGACATTTTTACACACAAACACCATTCAAGTTCAATTTCCCAACTCGTGGGAGTTATGTACCCAAATCCCCTCGACAGCATAATAAACGGTAATCCTACAAATCCTGTAATACGAGATTTAAGGTTTTCAAGCCAATGCAGGAGGCTCCATTCCACCACAGTCATTGCTGCCAGTTTTCCTTTAATGTGAAAGTAGTACAACGGGCTGGAAACTGATTTGTGGCAAATGCAGGTACTGTAACCTGTATGTCATTAAGATGTATTGTATCTGGCACCTGATAATTGTTTGTTTATTTTTATAATGCCAAGTATCTATACCCAATTGTCTTAAGTTCCTCTGGGGGTTTGTTGTCAACAGTAAATGCACACATTAGCATTGTATACTTAACATTTTTCAATTTCCATTGAATTTCAAAAATGAATGCTCCAGTCTGGTCCGCATTAACAATTTATGAATGATCATAGAGGGTCACAAAACACCGCTAACACTGGCTGGCTGGTGTCTATAACTTTTTTCGACATCACATACTTTGAGTTTTTCATATTTTGAGATTCTGTACTTAGATTATTTCCATACCTTTTCCATACTCTATTAGGACCTTTAAAAAATATATATATTCTGCCATACTATATACATACTAATATATTTAATTTTATTTTTAAATGTTACAGTATGTCCACTGTAGAGGACGTCAGGACCATTTTAGTTTGAAAAGACAGCCAAAAATATAACAGACTATGTAACGTATTATGGTTATAGAGTGATATTAATACAAGAATACATTCAGCTTTATTTAAAACATAAATAAGTCATTGATCTGAACATTGCTGTTTATTTGGTCATTATAAAAGTAGTTTGGTTTTTGGTGAATCTTTCCAGATCTTCAAAGACTTTGAAACTTTCAATGTAGTGGGAAAAGTACCTCATTGACTCCAGTCGGCACAGGCTGTAGGGTCATCTTGACTAGTGTTATGGATGTGGTCTCCATTTGACCATGCTCACAGAAACAAAGCTTGCATTCTTGAGGCCATTCTCATTGTTCATGGCTCCACTTAAAACAAAAACAACAATAAGACATACGTGCTACTCTTGGCCCACAGAGGGCCATGTCTTTCCATCTCGTCCCTATCTGTCTCTCTGTCTGTATCTGTGCGCTCATGGAGCCTCCTGCATCTTCCCCCCCTTCTTCTTGACCCTCTTCTATCCCAGGTGTGAAATTCTCATCTCACTCATCACCTGAGAGCTCAACATCTGAATCTCCCTGAACTATCTGGTACAGAAAATGTCTGCTTCAGTTCCGTCTCCTGCAACAATCACGTCCACTAGAATGGACATTTATAAAAGGGTTATTATTTCAAAACTTGAATTATTTAATTGCTTTCAGAACTAATATATAGTTCCTCACATGTTAATAAACAAGAACATATAGGATGGTAAAAATTACAATTATTCAACAATATTTGACTTCTCCTGCTTCTATAAAAATGTGTTTTTCGTATGCCAGCCATTTTGGATGAAAAGAAAGAGGAACTTCCCAGCATGCAATTGTAACCAATGACATATCACTGGAAAGACCAGGATGTCCTCTGTACAGCACATCAGGGACTGATAGAGTAGCTCAAAAGAGTCAAAGGAGATGCATGTTAACAAAATGTCCACTACAGTGGACATTTTCAATGGGCTGGGTCCCAGGAGGGTATGTATGTATACTAACTATACAATAGACTTTTTTTATGACATTTTCAATACAATAGACTACATACTACATACAGACTGGATGTAAGGCTTTCACTTGTCTTATAACTACAAAAAGCCTTTCATAATTCAACCAAAACAAAGAACTACAAATTAAACTTCAATTACATTCATACTTAACATTAAATGTCTCTTAGACTATCATCTTTTACATCCCTAACTTAACATGTATGGCTTGTGTATACTATGGCACGTGTCATTAGCTGGGTTAAATCAATGTGCTTTTGATTGTTTCTTTATAGCAACACTTTGGGGAAATAAGGTGGACAACATGACTTTAAAATAAAGTAAATTATCTGATGCAAAAACCTTTGCAGCCGTGGGAACTGTAAATGTGTTCTGTATTTTTCCAAAGTAAGGGATTTGTCTTCATGGTGGCAAGTGAGCTTAACAACCCCACCTGTGCTCATAAGCTAAGCTAACTACTGAACAACACAAACGGCCTCCCCCCTCATGAATGTGGCTGCATGTTCTGAAAGAACTGCAGTTAGTAGCTCTGTAAACAGCTTCGGATTATGGGATATTTTCACCCAAACATCCGTTTCACAACGGGGAAATAAAGGCTCAGACATAATGGAGATTAATGGAAAGCCGGCTACTGGAAACAGACCATTTCCCAGACTGTAACTTTCCCTCGGTAGGGTCACATTGTTATCTTCAAAACCAAACAACGGACTCCCAAGAAAGTGTTTACATGCTACATGAAATTCTAACATAAAATGGCCTTTTATGCCTAACAGTAAGTAACCCCTAAAGACATAACGCTCATTTGGGCATAGTCACAAGGCTTTGTTCCTTTTATTGTCTTGATTATAATGTTGCCTGGAAACGTGGTACACAAATAACACCATGTTATTGATGTTCATTGCTCCCATGTGAGCTGAAAAAAGAGGATGTTGGTAGCTTGAAACATCCTAATATAAATGTTGCAGTTGTTTTTCAGAAGCTTGAACTTTAAATAACCATCACTCCAAAGAAAGAAACACAAAGTTGACATTGGGCGCCTGCCGGCTCCAGGAATAGACTTCACTGCTCAGAAACTCTTTTTCCATTTTCTCCTCATGACAGTTTTTTGGCCTTCACACAAAGCAGCAAACAAAACCAAATCTGTGTGTTTTTAAGATCAGTGTTTCATGGTGCGTTTTTTTGTACTGTGAAAAATAGAACAGGACGTGCAAGGGTAAAGTGAGTAAGGGATGATGTGAAGATCAAAGAAGGCCTTATCAAGTTTGATTTGGATCCCAGGATGTTATGGTTACTTGGTGCAGGCCACAGGGACAATAATGACCCAGGTTTCCTCCCATTGGCAGGTCCATTCCTCCTCCACAGTGTATACCAGTTACTGCATAGAATTATCTAAATAACCTTTTGAGAATTGCTTTTATGTGTTATATTATTTTCTATTTGTTTTGTGTTTAGATGTTTTGGTTTAATAAATTGTTTCTTACATTTTCGTATTTTTTGCAGTGTTCCGCTTTATGTGAAAGCCCTTTGTTACACTGTTTTAAAAGGTGCTATATAAATAAAGCTGAATATGAATTATTATAGTTTGTGTAATTACAAATCTGAAATATCATAAAAACGAACATCTTTTAGTAAGATTGAAAAAAGGCCAATGTATTAATACATGATTGAAAAAGTTCATGATTTAGTATATTATGTTATATAAAATCTTATATTATATTAAAAGTCAGAGAAGAAGTATAGGACCATGAAAACGAGTCATTAGTCATGAAATAAAACATTTGGAAAAAATCACAAGATAGTTGTTTTAAAAACATTTCCAAAAGGATTCAGTTTTCTTTTCACATGGTTTTCAGGTATTTTTTCAGCTGAGCTTTAGTTACTTATTGACTTTAGGTTTAGTTACTTTCACCACTATAGAAACAGGGAAGCTCCTGGGTTTCCTTTAGGCACATTCACACCAAGCAAAGGATGTAGTTAAAATACAAGATGTACTAGAATAATTACTATACTATATGATGAATGCATATGCCAGAGTAGGTGGAAGTATAAAACCAATGAAGACGTGTGACACAGAGCAGAGACAGTTTCTTATCATAAGGCTGCGTGCATATCATTGGAATTGTGGGGTAGAAGTGTGAGTGTGTGTGTGTGTGTGTGTGTGTGTGTGTGTGTGTGTGTGTGTGTGTGTGTGTGGTGTGTGTGTGTGTGTGTGTGTGTGTGTGTGTGTGTGTGTGTGTGTGTGTGTGTGTGTGTGTGTGTGTGTGTGTGTGTGCAGGGCCGCCCCTCTCTACAGGCCAATCACGCAGGCTGCATGGGGCCCCGCCTTGCCCAGAGGGCCCCATGCAGAGGGCCTCAGCTGCTGTGTGCAGTTCTCCGCGCACTCCCAGCGAGAGTGAGAGTAGAGGTGACAAGGGGAGCACGTCTGTAACCCGACACCGTTGCAATGAATCGACATCTGACCAATCACGGCTTTGATACGGCCACTAGTGCAGGTGAAGAGATGTCGGTGAAAAGACAGTTTCAGTCCGGAGCAAGCAAGAGGGAAAAAAAACTAAACATGAAGAAACTAGAGCGTCACTCGAAGGTGGGTTATTGTATGAGTCAAATGTACAACTTGCGAATGTTGTATAAGTCAAATTGCCAATTGCCATATTAAAACATCAGCTGCAATTCACGACATGAAGAAGGCAGTCTCTGCATAGCATATAGGCTAATGGAGATGCAGTTATTTCCAGCATCCTTTATTTAACATTCATTCAAGTATGTGATGCCTTTTATCTGCTAATGTACAGGAGGAAGAGTGATACACTGTCTGTCTAGTTGGCTTACATAACAGTTTAAGTTTACAGCCTAAAAAACATGGAGCATTTTTCCCCCTTTTATTGATTTTTATGTCAATTTGCACATTTCATGGTGACGCTCAGCCTCTCCCCTTAACTCCTAACAGTCATCATCATGGTGATGCTCAGCCTCTCCCCTTAACTCCTAACAGTCATCATCATGGTGACGCTCAGCCTCTCCCCTTAACTCCTAACAGTCATCATCATGGTGACGCTCAGCCTCTCCCCTTAACTCCTAACAGTCATCATCATGTCAACCACAACACAGAGAAATACTGATAGAAATGTGTGAGTAGTTGTTGATACATTGCTGACAGAGGGAACTACGTTTGATTACAGATTTAAGAAGTATCAGTTTCAGAGCATGTCATAAGCATGTTTTGTCTTGACTATATTAAAACTATATTATAATAAAACAATATAGTATTTATATTATTGAATTGATTATGATTATTATTAGTAGAAGTAGTTTATTTGCATTCATTATATTGTAATCTTTGTGAGGCTAGTATTTGGCAGGAAATGCAGACGTATTCACCTGTAAACGCATACTGAACGACATACATGCATATTTACCATTTACCTCACTGTTTAAAAAAGTAACTGTTGATAATAATAATAAACAGGAATTATATTTGCAAAGTAGCCTACTTTGTTTCCAAAACATTTTGTTTCACTCCTGTCGGTTGGGGGGGGGGGGGGCCTCATCTCACAATGTCGCTTGGGGCCCCAAGTTGGCCAGGGGCGGCCCTGTGTGTGTGTGTGTGTGTGTGTGTGTGTGTGTGTGTGTGTGTGTGTGTGTGTGTGTGTGTGTGTGTGTGTGTGTGTGTGTGTGTGTGTGTGTGTGTGTGTGTGATGAGCAGAAAAGTATACACACATACTCTAAAATAAACCATTTTATTCAGCAGACTAAAAAAGAAAAGATCAGGTGTCACACTTTACTCATGGACAGGAAAATAAATACTTAAAAAGAGGCTCAATTACTTACACACACTCGTTTCAACATAAACAGCCACACACAGACAACACTTACACACAGTTCATTATAAATGTGTATATGCTGGCCCCCTACCCGATATAACTCCTACTTCACACACACATGGCTACAGTAGTTCAGGAACTAAAACATGTTGCAAATGTTCCTTGTGCAAGTGAACAACCATTAGATGATATGCAGCATGCAGCATGCTGCTTGTGACGTGATACTCTGATAGCCTTCACTCAGAAGTATTAACTCCACTTCAGTGACTTTAATTGGAAAAAACAAACATCAAACCCATGTTCATTTTTAGTTGTGATATTATTTCTGGACAAGTTCTAGAATTTCGGTTGAAAAGTTTGCATTCAAGAAAAGGAGCGATTCAAACAGACTGTCTTATTGTCACACAAGTATTCTGTTTACATTTCAAGAGGCTGACGATGCTAATTTTCAAGTTCTTCTTTGTATTTTGTGCCTCTTCTGTGCTTTAATGTTGAAAGAGCTGAGTGTGTGAGAGAGAGACTCCCTCTGGATGTTAGCCTTTGCAGACCATTCACATGCACACACAACTATATAACACTACAGGAAAGGGAAAACCCCAAAATGCATAATATGGCCCTTTCAGACAAAACAGACCAAAATAAAGCCAGACCAGAAACCCAACATAAAATTAGACATTTTTATTGTTTTTACTTGGGATCTCATCTCATGTCTTCTCGAAAAGAGAAGTATAGCAATACACTTGTTTCATAGAAAAAACCAAAACAACAACAACAACAACAACAACAACGTTATACATTTTATTTTCTCCTTCATAATTCTTGTTTTGTATTTCCTCCCATATTTTGGAAGAGTAGTATTGTCATAGAAAAATACTATATTACATAGAATAGAATTTTACACAATTTGAAAAAAATACACAATATCAACGCATACATTATTATTGGTCCAATCCGGAATCGCATTAAGCTTTGATGCGACTTGTCAACACATATTTAATTGAAAGGACCTTCAAAGTGTACAGTCACAGTGAGTACGTTGTTTGTGTTCATTTTTACAGTGATGGCAAGACTGGGCAGCTCATTATAGTTATTTACTTAACTGTAGTTCTCTGGGCAAAATGCTATTGGCTAGCTAACAGATACTTAAACTACTAAGTTAACTACATTTTTCTGTGCAGAAAACTGATGGTTAAAATTAGCTACGTATGTTTTATAGTTATTACTGCCCTAACTGTAACTGTGTTGAACATTAAGTTAATGGATTATAGTTAAGCTAGCAAGACATCAGCTATATTTAGCTAGATAGCTCTGTCTCATAGCCAAAGGGGACTTCTTGGATAGCTATATGATTACCAGCCCTTTTTAAAATAAAACTTAAAAGCCTTCATAAATCATTAACAAGGATAATCGGAATTAATGTAAGCATCAAAAATGATTTTTAGCCAAGCATAATCAATAGTTATCTATTGTTGAACAGATCGAAGTATAGGTGGTGTTCAGCCACGCTCCACACTGTTAGCTAGCAGATAAGAACCTCCAATCCCCTCCACTGTAGGGTTGAAAACTTCCCCTCTTTTCTCACGCAGTACAAACAGAAAGTTGTGACTTGACATAAAGAGCAGTCTTTGTTCCACTTGTATCCACATTAAAACACTGAACACATGACTGTCTTACATTTCACAGTTACGAATCATGCAGTAGAAACCCCAACACGTGCTCCAGCTCAAACAGGAAACAACAAGTAATGACTTGCTGCAAAAGCTGTCAATAAGAAAAAGAGGAAGGCAACTCACTCCACTTCCACAGCCTGGTTTCAGTACTGGTCAAAGGGATTTGAGCTAGCATCCTCTTGGTAAGAAAGTGGGTTAGCCCAGTTAGATCAAAACAAAACCAACATATTTTGTGTGAATGTGTGCTTAAGGAGTCGGTGTGTAATAGTAAGCATTTGAAATTCTGCAGACGATGATGGGATGAATGTTAGATTATATAACACCTTGTGACATTTAATGACATCTTTTCACGGTATCAGGGGTAATGACAACAGGCTAGGATAGGTTACATGGTATACTGTCATACATCTTCTGACATTCATTGCAACATATTCTCCACCCAAATTAAATACATTAGTAACTAAATCATTTGTAAATGTTTAAGTTTTGCAGTATCAGTCCTATATTGTACAAGCATGTTTTGTTGTAATTTCAACCACTTAACTATACATGTGTGATTTACATCATACACATGTGATGAGGTTATATATTTCTTCTTAACTTCACTCATAACATTTATTACGATTCCGGATTGGGCTTAAACTGACCTTTGACCCAGAAATGCATAGGGAGTATGGATGACCACACATATGTACATACATACATACATTAAAACAAACAAAAAAGTTTGAAAGGCTTTCTCACCACTTTTTTCATTTTTTTTGTTACTTTACAAAACCTTTATTTTTTTGGCCACTTGACATTTCGTAAAAATACTCAGACATGTTCGTAAATGAGATTACCTACAGTGCATGGTATTTAACAGTGTGCTTCTTTTGTAGTAAGTGCTTGGAGACCCTATTTTTCCTATGTATGAAAAAGTTGTCTCTCTTTACACTGTTTTCAGTCTCGTGGGGGGTCCAGAGCGCCCCACAGCCCTGAAAGGTTTCACCACTGTACAATGAGATGTACACCGCCTAGCTCTCTTTCTCTGAAACACTCAAAGATTCACACACACACATATTCACACAAACATGCTCAAAAATTCATACATGCGTAAAAGAAAAGAGAAACACTGACATTCTTGGATACGTACATGTAACACACGTGTATATTGTACACACAGAAACCGCAACACAAACTGTTGTTAGCGTACCAATAAAGCAATACAGCAGTCTCACGGCATTTCGTGTTATAGTCACGAAAATTCATCTATTGATTCGTGTTCACCAACACGATAACGCCATTTTTTTTCGTGTCACACAGAACGATTTTAGAAGCAATGTATTTCTATTGGTAGTATGTTTCGTGCCTGCACCAAATAATAACACATTAGAAGGAAAAAAATATAAAAATACAGATTTCAGTATTCTGAGGCTCTTTGCGCCATTTAAAATGTTTTTATGAACCACACAGCTTTTGGTCTTCCAAGACCCGACCGGACAAAAAGACGTGGTGCAGGCGCGAAACATACTACCAATAGAAATACATTGCTTTTAAAATCGTTCTGTGTGAAACGAAAAAAAGGGGAAAATCGTGTTGGTGAACACGAATCAATAGATTAAATTAACTGTGTGACTATAACACGGAATGCCGTGAGACTCGGTTGGATAAAGTCATATACACATCATTCTCACAACACACACTGGTGTTCTCAAAGAGGGGCAGCTGGATTTTAACAGTATTATGTAACCAGTGGTGTAGTGGGGATATTTTTACTGGGGGGACGCTATTTTAATTAGATCCAAACAATGCCACACAAGTGCGCACGCGCGCAGTGCACTCACAAAGCGGGCAGACAGGTCCAACTACCGGTATGCTTAGTCCTACTTTAGTTACTGTACTGCAAAAAGCAGACGGCGCTGCGCTCAACGCACACACAAAACCATGGACACACTGGCACATAAATTACATAAACAATTTATAGGCCTAAATTGCATAAGCTACAGTATTGCAACTAAGTCCTCTCTCTCTCTCTCTCTCTCTCTCTCTCTCTCTCTCTCTCTCTATCTCTCTCTCTCTCTCTCGCTCTATCTCTCTCTCTCTCTCTCTCTCTCTCTCTCTCTCTCATCTCTCTCTCTCTCGCTCTCTCTCTCTCTCTCTCTCTCTCTCTCTCTCTCTCCTCTCTCTCTCTCTCTCTCTCTCTCAGTGGAGGTACGGCACGTCCAACGCCCACTACACCACTGTATGTAACATAAAGGGAGACATGCAAAAAAAGAGAGGGAGAACAGAGGCTGTGATTGTTCCTGTTGAAAAATGTCCAATCCTTCAGAGGCCAAAGGCTATTCTCTGTCTCTTCTCTCTTTAACACACACTCTGAATACTGTAGTATTCCTGTGTGTCTTTGTGTTGTGTTTATTGTCGCTCAAACATTTTGTGCACTCACAACATTAGTTCTCTCTATTGTGCTTACATACAGGAACACATATATAAAAATATTACCGTACACTCTTTCCTTCTGACACACACACTCTGCCATGTGCAGTAGTAGGGTGTCAGCCAGTCTCACTTCTGTAATCCACAGGTAATAAGGGCGGAGTGAGTTTTTGCAAAAATAAGAGAAAACATGAAGACAGGAATGAGAATGAAGCCATTTTGGAGGGATTCAATAAGTATGATACCGTGTTTTGTTTTCAACAGTACTGATTTAAATAGTTTTTTGAATTTGCAACTCTTACTTGCTTTATCTGCAGAGCAGCCACATCTTAAGGGTATTATAGATCCCATACGCCATGCCAAACTGATGGGCATGATTGAAATAAGAAATACATCTGAAATGTTTAAAAGTAGCAGGAATGATGAGAACCTAAAGGATCATTGTAGTATATGGAAACATTTCAGGAATCTTTTTTTTCAAGGACAATATCATTAAATGAACACAATGGCAATACTTGAGTAAGGTGTTGCTCCTACTATTCTGAAACTCTGTTGAAGGACCATTAGTTGCATTTATTTGATTTAAACTCGCTGCAATCTTTTCCTAACGCACTTATAATATATGGGGGACAAATACCAGGTCACAGTGCAAAATGCAATCTAAAGTTCATCCCAAATTGAGTTGCATCTTTTCAGATATACCAATCTCATACACATGTACATTTGAAACAGAGATGCAGGATTCGTCACAGCCAAACACACAGAAACATGAACAAACATTGTGTTATCTGTGCATACGGGCACTGTTTAAGACGATACGCTTGTTCGTGTGTGTGACTTACATCTAAACAGCACCCACACTCTTAAGCATCATAATAAATCAACCTCAATGCAGATGATGCAGTTTACTCCGATCATGGCCACACAAAGGTCCGTTCTGCCTACAAAGTCAAACAGCAGTAACATGTAATGTTCATGGTTGATCTGTACTGCAGATGTCATATGAAGGTGCTAAGTGAAGCATTTTTGCCACAACTTGGTATTTATTTATGATTTCTTTTTAAATTAGCTTGCTGTTCACACTGTAGCTCTTAATCTGTTACATAGGCAGCACAAGTGATCTTGATAAATAATCATTTAAACCAAATAGCGGAAAATACTCTTTGTTATGCTTGTAATTTTTACAATCATTCGTAAGCAGCAGTACGTGCTGGATTCAAATGACATCTGCGTGTAAAGCATAAACACTATATCAAACCATGCAGGGGAAAATGTGAAGTCTTTAAAAAATCATGTTATCTGCTGTTAAGACATGTATGTTGGGCTGTGAGTGCCTGGTCATATTTGTATGTATGTAAGGGGAAATTACAAATTGACCCAATAGTTTGTTTGTATTCTTAAAGATAAATGAAGTACACATTTTCCCACTGGCCTTTACATTTTCTACCATTTTGTTTACTTGCAACTCAAATCATGTTTTATGTTTGTTGCTAAGGAACATAGCTTTATTTCTGTTTTGTTATTATCACAGTGTAAACAACAGTGATGCTGTAACTTGTTCTCCATGCTGTTAATGGCATTAAACCAATGTCTTAAAATGAAAGAGGTACCAGATTTCTCATCAAAGTGCTCCACAGAGCCCCTTTAATGACATACATGTGTTTTTCTCTGATTATTGTGAGCCCTGACCATGAGCAATGCTATCTAAATTGCATACATGGTAGCTACTGCTCTTTGACTTTGTAGTTTAGCAATAAGCTGAGGCGATACCAACCCAGTGCTCCAAGACAACGGTCGAGAAAGACTTGGCAATTTGGCAACTCTTCTAGCAAAAAAACAAAAAAAGGTCAATAATCTAATAAATGGTGCAGAAAGAAAGATATTTCCCACGCACTTCCATGAGCACAGCATTGTTGAAAATGTTGAAGCAATCAAGAAAAAAATCCATCCCTTTTATTCTTTTCCCTTAGAAGATTGGATAAAAAAAGAAGGAAATTGGCAGTTGTGATGACATCAGTGTCTTGACCTTGTAACTATGGCACACATGAATATATATCACTGTGACCCTATTATGTGCAGAGGTATCTAATATACTCAAACTCCATGCGACAGCTGAGAGCTCATCTTGACCTTTCCACAAAATAACTGAGCAGATTCTTAGCAGCAATATGGACTCTCACAACGGCTACATTGTAGAAACAGTTGGATCAATCTTCATAATGAGTAGTAATAGCTTTTCTAAAAACAAATCTGCCAACTGAGCTAGGCAGTTTGAGCACTAGATATTTTTTATAAACCTTGCATTAAAAACTGCTAGAATTACCTCATCCAAATTGCAGGTTTTTATGATTTTTTAAAGTAAAGATAATATTTAAAGAGTCAAAATCAGTTAATGGCTGGTTAAAGTGCCAGAGAAGTGGTTGTTTATGTTGGAACAACGCTGAATGCCAGCCCGCCTTAATGAGAGTGTCCCTGGTGGTTTCTCTGCAAGATCCCAGTGAGAATAATATGGTATGACAGCAGTTCAACCCGGTGTGAATGGGAAGGGGTGGTTGTGTGAGCATGCAATTCAGTGTGAGTTTGTTCCTGAAGGAGTCTCTGTGTTTCAGTAGAACTATTGCAAGCCGGTGGAGTGTGGTGTGGGTTTGGGCCAGTTTCAGTTGCAACTTAATCACCAGTTATTGTACATCCCCTGCCGGTGTGGCAGAGTGTGTGCATGTGCATGTACAGTATGTGTGTGTTTGTGTGTTACAGGTCTAGATGATGGTCAAACGTGTTGTTATTGTCCTCTGCGTCATCGTCGTCATTGGCCAGTGGGTTACGACTGATGACCAGCTCCAGTCTGTCCCCGGCCTCTGTGATCAGGGGCACCGCCAGGCAGCAGTCAAAGTCCCTGGTCCTCACGTGGTTCACCTGGACAAAGACGGGGAGCGGCAGAAAAGGGCTGCTTTTGTCAATTATACTGGTGACATTCTGCCAGGCCTTTACTGCATTTATCTTCACTTCTTGCTTGTTGGAGCGGCTTTTTGATTTAAGCAATTTAAATAAAGAGATAGAGGTTAGTTTACTCACGAAGGGACATGCAGCGTCTTTAACATCTGAAAGACTTAAGGAGCTTTGATTGGGCTGTAGATGCCGACTTTTGGTCAGATTTTTTCACGGCCACTGAGGTAGGTTGCGCCACCATCGATAAGCGACCATGACCATCTTCCCCTATCAACATGTGTTCGTCCTAGTCTTTTTTTATTTATATATAATGAAACCTGCCAATGAGACACCTGTTTCGGTCTCAGTTCTGTCCCGCTCCTGTTTTGGTGTGTGTGCGTGCTGCCCACTAACACATAACAGAAGATATTAATGATCATGCAACATTTGAGCAGAGGCGAACGTGAAATGAATATAGTTCTATACAGTATGTATATCTATGTATACATCTTTAAACTCTGAGTATTACTGCTGCGTTCCAAATGTTGAACTTCTTTTAACTCTGTGAGCAGCTGTCAGGCCCTTCTCATGCCTTGAAAATAGTAGCTTGTGAAAGCTGGCGCACCACTACCTCGTTTGACCACGCCTGCAGCATGTCTACATTGAAGACAATGAATGGTTTTGCACTTATTGATGTCTTTTATACATAAATATGTGTCCCCGGTGTGTCAGGGAACTCACAAAGTGTCAGAAAATAAAACCCTCTCTCTTTTCCTTTGTACCCACATCTCTAAAAACGGGGGAACAACGGAGCTGATCCAGATTTGTGTCTGATATGACGTAATATCAGAAATGTGGGCTGGCTTTACGCGCACGGCCCTATCAGAAACGTTGCTGTATCAGAAACAATGCGCAGCGTGTTTTGGACGTAATATGGTCTTTGTTTACATTAGCAAGCATCGCTAACCCTCAGAGTTAACCTCTACTGGAGAGAGTATCAGTGGCGGCCAGCCCATAGGGGCACTAGGGGCGCCGCCCCACCTCTTTCCACATTCTAGATTGTCATTACAAAATATTTAAATGTTATTAATTGTATACACTTTTTTTAATGAACAAGGTACATATTATATAGTTGGTGTCAGTTAATTGTATAATATACGTTCAAATATCGATAAAAATTGTTTTACGATGTCTAAAGTTACTGATAAGTCACGTGTTTCCTGCTTGGGGCACAGAAATCTTTGCCCATTGACTCTCGTTATAAGTGGTGCATGCGCATTCCGCACCTCTTCAATGCAACAGATAGGAGCAGCTCGGGGCACACCAAACTGCGCCCAAAGCAGCTGTTGACACCGCCAACAACAAGGGGGCAGCAGGAGCGTCAGAGTGAGTTATTGACGTTTGAATGAGAGAGACGGAGTGTAAACAAAACTAGATAGAATCAGAATACCTTTATTAGTCCCACAGAGGGGACATTTGCAGCGTTACAGCAGGAAAGAGCCACAGACAGCTTAGTGTTGCATATCTTACATGTGTTCAAAAAAGTACTAAGTTATAATATAATAAACAATATGCTAAAAAAGTACTAAGTTATAGCGAATATGGAAAAGGAAAATGATGTTTAATCACTTAAAGAAACACTCTTTGAGAGGAAGACACTGGAGGGAAAGCTGAAAGTAAAAGAGCTCGGACCGGATCAGCGTGACATAGGCAGGAGTTAAGGACAGAGGAAGGCAGTATACCTGCTCTTTTTCAAGGAGCTGGTTTAGCAAGAAGACTTGGCTAACTACCTGTAGCAACACCAGGGCTATATTTTGCTCCCCCTGCCTCCCTTTCCAAACGTCAGGATCAGACCCGTCTATGGACCACCCAGCATGGATCCAGACAGATGTGAGTGACTTAAAGCACATATCAGAAAAAACTAAAAAGCATGAACAAACTAGACTCAACATGGAGGATGCTATGCGACTAGCCATGTTTAGGAAAGTAAACACAGCTGTCCAATGAGGGCTACAGGATAGGGATCTGTAAGCATAATAAGGAGGATTACAAAAACAGGCACTAAAATAATAGACTGTATCAAGTGCTGTGTGCCTTTGAGCTAGCCCTGCGTTGTAATATGACATATGTTTTGAGTTTGTGTATAAGTTTGCTTACATTTTGGAGAAAAATGCACCAGCCACCACTGGAGAGTATGTATACAAAAAGGAACTCACCTTGTGGTAAACCCGCAAGAGAAAACGCATTTGAGCTCCATACTGTTTCAGAACAAATCCTTGATGTGGTTTTGAACATGATATGGCGTTTAATAATGGCAGCATTTAGCTTAGTATCTCTCGTTTTTTTTTTTTTTTTAAACCTGCAGACCCAGAATCAGCACTTTAGTAATAGGGCTGAAATAGAGGGATATGAAGCATGGCTAAAATGCATGATCTGTTTGGTATTCTGAGCAAAACACTTCATAGACATGTTTTTGATACATTTTTATATATCTGAGCCCTATAATATATGCCTGAAAATAGTATAATAGGAGACCTTCAAACGCGGCATCTCAGTTTACCCAACTAACGAGCCTGAAGGCGATAAAATAAGCTTACATGTGTCTTATCCTGTTAAGAATCTGCCACTCTCCATAAATATGGTCCAGCTGCTATGTGATATTCTTGGAACGTTGTATTAATGGGCATTGGGTTCTACAGCTGTTGCCTGGATATTAATAATATCAAATGGATTCCCTTTATGTTACCTGCAGGATCCTGTCGTAGGGTCGGAGGCCCGCTCGGTCAGCTGGCCCGTCAGGTCTGATCATGTTGACATAAACTCCTTTCTCCAAGAAGCCGTCGGACACGCTGAAGCCAAAGTCGTCGATCTCTGGATCCTTTATCACAGTTACCTACAGGAAACAACACAAGGATGGGAGATTGACCTGGAAAGCATTGGCTGACTTAAAGCAAAGCGGGGGCTGCAGGCTTTTTTTTCACAAAACTGTGTCTCAGGGCTTCTTAATATTTAACAACCTATTAATGCAGTGGTTCTCAAACTTTTTCTGTCCTTCCCCACTTTGAACAGGTGGGCCTTTTCAAGCTCCACCTGTCCCTCATCGCTCCAATAAAATGGTAGGCCAAGCTTAAAATGGTCAAATGTATCGTTCTATAACAATATAACAATATATCTATAACAAATAACATCAGTTCAAAAACAGAGAAAATCAATAACAAATAACAGTTCAGAAATAGAGAAAATAATGTCAATCCTTGCCTCAAATGGGCTGAGTTCCAAAGATATAGAAAAAGGGCCTACTATGCAATTGTGTTATCAATGGTAGGTCAAGCTTAAAATTGTCAAATGTATTTAAATAACGTCAAGTTCTACATCTTATAATAAATAACATCAGTCAATAATAACAAATAAAATCAATAACAAATAACATCAGTCAATAATAACAAATATCATCAATAACAAATAACATCAGTTCAAAATAGAGAAAATCAATAACAAATCAATACATTCATACATTCAGGAAATACATTCAGCAATGCAAATGACCAATTGAATGCATGAGTCTCATCACTGGATTATTAGTGACTGCAATGAGCCTGTCTTGCACTACACATCTTTTCAAAACGCGGTTGCAGGCTTGACAATGCCACTCTCAAGTCGTGCTCAATGTTGAGCCTAGATCTGTATTTGGTTTTCAGTGTTGCAACAGCTGAAAAGCCCATTTCACAGAGATAAGATGTGGCGAAGCGAAGAAGAATGTGCACAGCTCTCTGCCCAATTACTGGATACACCCTCTCCACTCCAAGCCAGAATTCACATTCATTTGGTTTCAGTTGTGTGTGTGTGAGCAGGCTCGGATTGGCCACCGGGAGATTCTGGACTTTACCCGGTGGGCTGCTGCCTTCGGTGGGCCGCTGGCTCTTGCATAGGTGGGTCATGGACTTTCACAGCGTTGCTGCGCCAGTACTGCATCGGCACCCGCAAACACCCGCCGTTGCGAGGCTCCGGCGCTGTGAAAGTCCACCGCCGTTGTGAGTCTCCGGCTGTAACAGTCCACTACCGCCCGCGAGGACCCAGGTTCGATTCCGGCCTGAGGTCCAAAACATGTATACAAAAATAATCTCCCGTTCATCGCGTCCATTCGCGACCCACCTATCACATCTCTGCGCCCCAGTGGGGCGGGCCCCACACTTTGATAAACGCTGTATTAATGTGTCATATCCACTTAACGGGAAGAAACGTAGCTAACTGACGATATGAAAAAATGTTACCGAAACGAAACACAAGGGTAATACCAAGCCTCTGAATGAGCCCTGAGCGAAAAAATGCTAACGCACTTAGCACAGAACTCACGGTAGAAATACTGTATTACTTATCGGATCTGCACAAACAAGATATCATATAAAAGCTGAGATTCCAGATTCTAGAGGTATAAGTATCATCACTGTGACCAGAACTCAGGGCAGCGAAGGCAAACCCAGGCAACACACAACGTAGCTTTACTGAGCCAAAACGGCAAATACGTCTTACCTTTGCTGTTTCTGATCAAAAATTGTGTTCAATGGCATTAAAACGATAAAAACGCTGCTGAAGGTTAATCCAATGTGTCTGTGTCACTTTGAAATGATTACTGATAATCCATCATAATTTGATGGCAATAAGCCTAGTTTTCAGTTTTCAGAGTGTAACGTAGCTTTCCGTTTGGGAAACTGCGTGCACATCACTCTCACTTCTCAATGGTAACGTGTAGGTGGATTTAGGAACCCCCCTTCAATTATATTGGCTCTAACGGTTCAAAAGAGATGTCAATCATCATAATCGACCGAGGGGGGCCAGAGATATGGCAAATACACCCAAATGACCCCAGAAGTTTTAGTTTTTTTGCTAAACCTCACTAAATTGTCAAATGTCACTTGTGTTGCATCAATCTTGATACAGGGTACTTATTATATGTTATAATTTGGATTCATAAAGCTTTTAGTCTACTATCCCATCATTCAAGGCCAGGGTGGTTTTCACTATAAGTAATGTTTTTCTTTTGGATGTTCCAAAAAAAAATTCTATATTGATTCTGACTTTTCTTCATCCAACTCACAGGTTTATCATTGCTTTGAGAAAAAATATTATTAATGTACTTAGAAGTAAAGCTATAGTCATTTGTTCTGGGTATGTCATTTTCGAGCCTGAGACCTGGAAATCAGGCTCAGGGCTTAACAGGTTAACACACCAAATGTAAAACAACCCATAACAAAGGTCAGCAGGGGTTGGTTTCAAGAGCACAAGACCAAACACAACAAACCAGCATTAACTGGAATATAGTGTCACATCTCATGATACAATGTTTAAAAGGTAAAAGTTGCACTTGAACAGAACACAATGATAACAGCTGGCCATTAGCTTAGAGAGAAAGGCTTGGTCAGGAAATGATTGGTCAGTGACACAACAAATTAGCCGCCCATTCATATGTCTCATCATATGCTCCAAAGGTTAATTGACAATATGCCTGACAGAAAAATAGCTACTGTAAAGTTGCTGTTGGTTTTACTTTTGGAGGAAAAAGGGAAGCCTATATATAAGGAGACACTGCACTTAATGGTAATGGTCACCCTAACCCTAGCCAACTGATACTGAGAGTTAGTCAGAAGTGTTAGAGCCCTTAAAGTCAATCCAAAATTAAGTTTCGGCCCTTTATTTAACACTTAGCAAGGGGTTGTTTTTCTCCTATTTTTAAAGAACATTTACAAAGATCCTACATTTTTCTTGATTTATAACGAGTCCCCTTGGTTACAGATTAATGGATTTTTGTATTGTGCTCTTCACAGCTGTGATGGGGATTGGTATAAACTCATTTAAAAGCAAAGCTTGCATACTTTAACAGGATACATGTTCGACAGGCCACTTAAACTAAAGACCACTTCTCAGTACTGTAAAATTGCAGGATAATGGAAACCAGATGTTTTGCTAAGAACTATAGATTAAAAGAAAGGCAGTATTGTATGATTTTAGAATAGTGTAGGCTCTTTTGTTGAGACACCATTTAAAGGCTCCATTTTGGCTCATGGCCAACAAGCAACAAGTTCTTACTCTGGAAAACAAACGTGTTTTTCACTCTTGGCTGTACACGTCTGGGCACACCCTCACATATTATGTATATGGTCATAATTGTGAATCCCCAGAGGGTGAAGACATGTAGCTGCCTGCAGAACTGCTGCCAAAGGGGGTAGGGCTGCTACACTATACGTACATTCTTTACTGTAACAGGATATACTGCACACTAAAAATGTAATGTTCTCTTTAAAATGTTACACTAAACCATTTGTTTGGGGACTTGAACCACTGGTTTCCTACCCTATGCCTAAGGATTAAGTTACTGCTGCATATGTTATGATTGAGTGTGATTCTGTAAATTATGACATGTCATAACAGGCCGGATATGCAACAATTGACTGTCATATGTGGTTGGTATTGACATTGGCTGTCATGAATAACTTTTGTGATTTTCTTTAGGTTTGAGCAGTATGCCATCTATGACAGTTTTAGATTGTAGATATGTTGGGTTGGTTAATGTCAAGTTGTCATATTAAAGAGAAACAATGTAAACTTTGAATCAATTATCATTATTTCAGAATTGGTACATTTTGACATCCACTATCCATAATGTCCACACTCCACAGACATGATTATACTATCGATCGTAGTGTTTAACTGTGAAAGAGAAAGCAAGTAATCATATTTCTTAAAATGCAAATCTCAAATCTGAGCTAAGTCTCTGCAGTGAAACATATTTAAACTAGACTGTACAATAAAACTCTTGCTATCAACACATCAGACTCTCAATACCTGTCCTTGTTCTTAGTTTTCACCCTACACTAGATCCCTCAGATCAACATACTGTACATCACAAGTCCTAACCCAGAACAGACCCCACATCCTGTCTCCAGACGGTTTGGACTCACTTTGTGCAGCTCCAGAGGCGTTGGGGACAGAATGCCCTGCATCTCCTCTTTGATCCGACGAGACTCCCACGTCCTCTCTGACACTCTCAGGGAGGCTTTAGGCTTGGAATCATGGTGCAGGAGGGATTGGTTATCTTGGTGGATGTAGGCCCCCTGGTGCAGGTGGGCCTCATGCTGCAGGTGGGCCTCATGGTTGAAATGGGCCTCCTGGAGAAGGTGGGCGTCTGGGTGGAATTATAAGGTTAATACAAAATGTTTAAGAAAGATTATATCAGTTCATTTTTAACATTTCTCCCAAATTAGAAAACATTTTTATTAGGTAATGATATCAGTGGCGGCTGGTGGAATTTTTTCTAGATAGGGCTGTGCCACATGCAATAAATTTCAGCAAACATTCCAGTATGACTTAATGCAAAACAAACAGGAGTTTTCAGTGTTAATTTACCAGTCTTACATTTCAATGCCTCCATAAACAATTTAAGCATTTGAGACTGAGGACTATGTACAAAAACTTAAAACAATGGCATTAGCAATCCTTGCATACATATATGTATGCAAGTATTGCATACATCATATACCCTAAAGATAGGGTATATGATGTATATATAATATATATATATATATACATGGAAATATATATATATATATATTTATGATATATATATAATATATGTATATGTATGTATGTATGCATATATATATATATATATATATATATATATTACAGAAAAAAAAAAGTTGAATATGTTACAAACGAATAATAATTATTCGTATTCTTAAAATCAATGTGGTGTACGTCTTTGACGTGCCTTTAAAAACGGTGGCGGTCTTCAGGTGCTCCTCCAGCACAGTGTGCAGGGAGGAAACTAAATCCACCAATCCCCTGAAAATGCCAGGGTTGACTGAAGAGTCAGTCTCAACATGCCCACGCAAAGCCAACTCAAAAGCCCACAAAACGTCATTATTTTTGATCAAATATGCCTGTTTTTATCCAACTCCTCATTGTGTTTCCTCACCGCAATCCAATCAATTACTTGGAGCGATAAAATAATCACCCCTCTGGTATTAGTTTTGAGGACGCTGATTGCCTAAATTTTATGACACATGTTATCTTGAATCAGCAATTGGTTAACCTGCTACAGAGACCCGCCTCCGTGGGGCAATTTCTCCATCGCCCCAGAAATGAACTTCAGTCATACAGTGTACTAAGAAAAGCATATATTTTGCGCAAATTATTTTTTAAATCATATTTTACACATATTTCTGGCTGCATTCCATATTTTAAACAAACAAATATTTACAATGTATATAATTAATTAATATTATTATTATTATTATTAATAATAATATTTGTGTGTGTGGTTTAGAGAGGGCGGCGCCCTATCGCCCCCTATTGGCCAGCCGCCACTGAATGATATATTATGAGCTTGGGGAGGCAACCTTGCGGCTGTCACATCTGCTGTTTATATATATACCTTGGTGGAGTTGGGCCTCCTCATGCAGGTGAGCATGCTCATGCAGGTGTGTCCCCTGGTGGAACAGGTTTCCCTGGTGCAGGAGGGAATTTCTCCGCAGCGGGCTCATCCTGCTGTGGGTCAGTATGGGCTCAGCTTGAGGCTTGTTAGCACCTTCTACACCCAGACTGATGGCTGTTCCTGTCATTATTGACGCCTGCACACACCAAAACATATACAATTAAATGGCAGCTGAAACTATTGCTAATTTGTTAACAATACTGATTTAAAAAATAACGTTTAAATCCAGCTGGATTGTGCGTAAGTGTATAATTTGGGGAGAGTTTTGTTCATGTTTGATGCTAATGCTAACATGCTATTTGTTACAGCCGCTGTTTTCCTTGTGCCATTAACTCTGTTTGTGTGTGTATATGTAAATGAGCTGTGCAGTTCCTTTGATGTCATTGGCCGTCCCGTCCTCGCAACATCCGCGGTGATTGGATTGACGTCGTCCAATCCCCGCCCGCTTCTGCCACGTCATCCGGGGGAGGAGTACAAAGGCCGGGCAAGGACATCATTCGGGAGGCTCTGTATTGTGGGACAGACGCCTCCAGCCTCTCGTTGTGTTGCCGCCTTATTCTGTGCATTTTTAGACTGCTTAGCAGCGTGTTAAGCAGGTTTTCTGTGCTAGGTACACTTATTAGCAGTGTGTCGTAGGGTTTTGTGTGTAGTATAGTGTGTGTGTATTGCTTAGACCCAGGTTATCTTAGCGCCTGTAGATCAGCCTTTGTGTGCGTATTGCTTTGACCCAGGATAGATTAGCGCCTGTAGATCGGCAACAGCTGTGTTCTCACTCAGTCTCTTTTTGTTTATTACTTTGTTCCACTTTAGAAGTGAGGTACTTTCTTTCCTTTTGTGTATTACTGTGCAGCTCTCTTTTGGAGTTCTCCTTTTGTTTAATAGTAACAGTTTGGCCCTTTGTTTGTGCCCGACTGTTTGTGTATATTATTGTGTTTCTTTATAGTTACAAATAAACCACTTGTAACGTATACCAATTCTACTCTGGTCGTGATTCTTCCCTTTGGAACCCCTAGACCCAAAAGGGAACGTAACACTATTGTAACCAACAGCTAATTTGTATGTGGTATCTTTAGGGTTCAAGCATTTTGCTGAATAAAGCTTACAACTTGTTCATCTAAGTTGGCGGTGGATGCTTGCATGCTACTTGACCTCAATCTCTCGGAGCAGTTCTGATTGGCCACACGTCTCCAGATCCTCAAGCGCCTGACACCAGAAACTGTCATCTGGATCCAACATTATACCGTCTGGTTGTTGGCCGATAAATCTGTCACACACAAACAAAAATGAAGTTAAATAAGCTGCTTTGAAAGCAAGTTACTGTCAGGGTCACTTGTACCTAGCTGGTCAAAAACACTTTTTGTGCTAAGTCTTGGTAGATGTGCTTCATGGTCATGACTTGTTTAAAATGTAAAGTGTGCTTTTCTCTTTACTTGTAGCTTTTTATCTTACCTTGAAAAAGGTGGAAGTACTCTAAAGCCAAATTGTAAAGTAAAAAGGTATTGCCATGAAAAAGGTCTTAAAAGAGGACATATTATGATCTTTTTTGAGGTTCATATTTGTATTTTGTGCTTCTACTGTGACATGTTAACATGCTCAAACAAAGGTCGTAGCCGTTGGCTACTAACCAATAGAAGCACAATTGTGATATAGTGATGTCACTAACAAAGGAGTCCAATGGAGGTGTTTTAGGCAGGTGCGAGAGAAACTTTTTACATGCACGAAAACCCATAGAACAGAGGAAAGGGAAAACCCCAAACGCATAATAGGGCCTACTTGAAGTACCAAAAGTAAAAGTACTGTATACTGGAACATTTCCAAATGATATATTAAATTACTGCATTGTTATTGTTGATGCATTAAAGTGTTCTTCACAGCTGGTAAAGGTGGGGCTATTTGCAATTACCATGTATACAGCAACTTGATATCTTAACCTAAAATGATATGTCACTGTTTATTTATTAGTTGATGTTTTCTCTCTATAAGCTATTCATCTGATAAAGCATCTATAAAGTGACTGGTAACCAGTGCTGTCAAATATATGTGACGGAGTGATAGTAGATGAAAAATACTCATGTAAAGAACAACACTTGAGTTAAGATACTTGTCTACATTCTACCACTGCTTGAACACTAGGATAATGTAACTAAACATGAGTCATTGTAATAATCAAATGGTGGAATGGTGTGGAATTGAGTCTGCACATAAAGGCAGAAATGAACGTGGTATGTGAAGACAGAGCAGTGTTAAGGCTATTTGTTCTGGTTAACTGCATCATGAGTAATATTTCAACACTGAGCGTCCTCGGCTGACAACATTAATTCACTTTCACTGTGCAGCTGATATTTGTCTCACCTCATTCTCACTCTCTGTCTCTCCACCCCCATTAGTGTTATATAACCCTGGGTGAATGTTGCTATCCTCACAAGGATTAACCTCCTGACTCATCACACTGACACAAACACTGCTCTGTCAGTTTCACCAGCCACATGACTCCAATTCCACACTGAAATGTCCACTTCACCACAAACACTGTGCTGACACTGGCACAATAAATGAAGTCTGAATTACTGGATTATAAAATGTAGACACCACAGTGATGAAGATTTACTTTTTAATATTTACTTGCACTATATTTTTCTGTTTTTCTGTATTATTATGTTGCACTGTTGGAGAAGCCTGTGACCTAAGATTTTCATCGACATAACTACTCTGTAGCTATGTTCGTAGGACAAATAAAGAACCTTGAACCTTGATTATGCAGTTATTTAATATATTACCAAAAAAAAGCCCAATTTCTTTCAGTTGTTTGTATCAATATATCATTAAACATTGATCATCTTTTGGTTTTGGAATTTGAAAACACCACCTTGGGCCCAGAACTTATGCCGGCCATTTTTTACTTTTGGATAAACAAAACAATTATTTGAATAATGCCATTACAGTTCAGAATCAGAAACAGGTTTATTGCAGGTAGGTTCACACATACAAGGAATTTGACTTGATGTCATGGTGCAGACATAAAATATAAAACAAGAAATCTTTAAGGACACCGCAATATAATATAGTTAAATAGCAATAAAATAAAGCAGTCATTTACATGGAAATAGAATGCTATGAATGAATTATAGGATATAAAATATGAAATAAGAAATATGTGCAGTAAGCAGTATTGAACATTGTGTGCATTAATGTAATGCATAGAGAGTCTACGTTGTGGCTGAGGTAAAGTGTCAGTGGGGGGGCCGGGCCTTGTTTAAGAGGCCGGTAGCGGAGGGGAAGAAACTGTTCAGGTGGCGAGAGGTTTTGGTCCTGATGGAGCGCAGCCTCCTGCCAGTGGGGAGGGGGTGAACAGTTTGTGTCCAGGGTGGGAGGGGTCGGCCACTATCTTCCCTGCCCGCCTCAGGGTCCTGGAGGCATGCAGATCGTGGAGGGATGGCAGATTACAGCCGATCACCTTCTCTGCAGAGCGGATGACACGCTGCAGCCTGCCCTTATCCTTGGCTGTGGCTGCAGCGTACCAGATGATGATGGAGGAGGTGAGGATGGACTCGATGATGGAGGTGTAGAATTTCACCATCATTGTCTTTGGCAGGTTGAATGTCTTCAGCTGCCTCAGGAAGAACATCCTCTGCTGTGCTTTTTGATGAGGGAGCAGATGTTCTGCTCCCATTTGAGGTCCTGGGCGATGATGGTGCCCAGGAAGCGGAAAGACTCCACAGCAGTTACTGGGGAGTCACACAGAGTGATGGGGGCGGGTGGGGCTGCGTTCTTCCTGAAGTCCACAACCATCTCCACTGCCTTGAGAGCGTTGAGCTCCAGGTGGTTTTCCCCACACCAGGTCACCAGATGGTCCATCTCCCACCGGTAGGCAGACTCAGACTCACCAGCGATGAGTCCGATGAGGGTGGTGTCGTCTGCGAACTTCAGGAGCTTGGCAGACTGGTGACTGGAGGTGCAGCTGTTGGTGTACAGGGAGAAGAGCAGAGGGGAAAGAACGCAACCTTGAGGGGAACCGGTGCTGATGGTCCGGGGGTCAGAGACGTGTTTCCCCAGCCTCACGTTCTGCTTCCTGTCAGACAGGTAGTCTGTGATCCACCCGCAGGTGGAGTCGGGCACGTGCAGCTGGGAGAGCTTGTCTTGCAGCAGAGCCGGGATGATGGTGTTGAAGGCGGAGCTGAAGTCCACAAACAGGATCATGGCGTAGGTACCTGCTGTGTCCAGGTGTTGGAGTAGGAAGTGAAGGGCCATGTTGACAGCGTCGTCCCCAGACCTGTTGGCTCTGTAGGCGAACTGCAGGGGGTCCAGGAGTGGGTCTGTGATGGATTTGATGTGGGACAGGACAAGGCGCTCAAAGGACTTCATAACCACAGAGGTCAGGGCGAGGGGTCTGTTGTCATTTAATCCTGTGATCCTTGTTTTCTTGGGAACCGCGATGATGGTGGAGGTTTTGAAACATGCTGGGACGTGGCATGTCTCCAGTGAGGATCTCGGGCTCAACAGCGCCCTCTGTGACTGGATCCTGAACTTTCTGACGGGCAGACCCCAGGCAGTGCGGGTGGGTAACATCACATCCTCCACCCTGATCCTCAACACCGGTGCCCCTCAAGGCTGCGTGCTCAGCCCTCTCCTCTACTCCCTGTTCACTCCTGACTGCGTGGCCACACACAGCTACAACACCATCATGAAGTTTGCTGACGACACGACCGTCATCGGCCAGATCACAGACGGCGACTAGACAGCGTACAGAGAGGAGGTCGGAAACCTGACATCTTGGTGCCAGGATAACAATCTCCATCTCAACGTCAGCAAAACCAAGGAGCTGATTGTGGATTACAGGAAGCAGCAGAGAGAGGGACACGCCCCCATCGCCATCAATGGGACTACGGTGGAGAGAGTCAGCAGCTTCAGGTTCCTTGGGGTCCACATCACTGAGGACCTGACATGAACTCTTCACACCACCACCATCACCAAGAAAGCTTGACAGCGGCTCTTCTTCCCCCGCAGGCTGAGGATTCCAGGATACTCTGCAACTTCTACAGGTGCACCATAGAGAGTATCCTGACGGGCTGCATCATGGCCTGGTATGGCAGCTGCACCACCCTCAATCGTAAGGCTTTACAGAGGGTGGTGAAAACTGCAGAGAACATCACCAGGACGGAGCTGCCATCCATGGAGGATCTTACTCCCAACGGCTTAGGAAGAAATCCCTCCGGATTATAAAAGACCCCCATCACCCCAGCCACATACTGTTGTCTCTGCTGCCGCCTGGCAGGCGTTACCGCAGCATCCGGACAAAAACCACCAGATTCAGTGACAGCTTCATCCCACAGGCAATAAGACTGTTAAACAACTGAACTGCTGAAACAATTTCATAACATTAATCTGCTACTTAGTCATTATTTATCTATTATATAATATATCACTCCAATAACTTGTATATAGTCAGACTTGTATTGCACTATTCCACTTTTTTTTTCTCTAATTTTTTTTAAAGAAAAAACATTTTTTCTTTTTGTATTACTTTTAATATAGTATATTTTAATATAGGTTAATATTGTCTGCTTATCTGTATTATTGTGTTGCATTGTTGGAGAAGCCTGTGACCTAAGATTTTCAACGACATAATTACTCTATAACACGAGACCGCTCGGGAGCGCTGGAGACGCTGTAGTACATATGCCGGGCCTGTAAATGACGCTGTACTTCCGCACCAGACCGCTCGAAAGCGCTGTAGTACATATGCCGGGCCTGTAAGTGGCGCTGTACTTTCACCACAAAATGTACCAAAAGCAGCGAAGAAGACCCCAGAGCATGGTTGCCCTTCTGTTTATGCCCCATGGTGGATTTAGCAACATTTAGTTCATGTAATTCTCCATGTTGCTTATGGTTGTGGTAGAGGAGCTGTAGATTATGCACTAACATCTGTAGCATGGTCGAGCTGTAGATTTTGCACTAACATCTGTAGCATGATCAGTAGCTACTGACCATGCTACAGCAGTGAGCAGCAGAGGTGGGGAGAGATGGGGCTATGGCTTCATCGTTATCAGGAAATGATCGGATAGGGCGTACACACAGAGCCGTTTGCCCCCCCGGGGCGTTCCGTTTGCAGATCTGTCCACCTTGGGACCCGTTATCGTTTGCGGGTCCGTTTCCGCGTTTCTGTTACGGCCTCGTGTGAACGAACGGGCTATACGAAAGAGAAAAGTAGCGGATACAACCCTTTGCGTTCTCGTGTAAACAGCACATAAAGCTCCTTACACACCAAACTGACACCAAAGAACACGTCCCGACGGAACGTCGCCTCACGTCGCCTCACGTCGCCTCACGTCGCCTCACGTCGCCTCACGTCGCCTCACGTCTCCTGTGTCTTGGCCATGTTTCGCACTGGATCACACCGCAAAGACTTCAGCCGACGGCCAAGTAGTGTGTATTCGTCATTCAAAAGAGGCAACAACCGGAAGACAGACTGCGTGATATACTGAGAGAAGAAGAACAGACTGCGTGATATAAACAAACAACAAATAGCGTGTGCGTTCCATTTTCACTCTACAACGAGAAGCTCATGGGGCTTTCCCGAACCTGTGTCGAGACGCCGATAATCGGCTCGGTGTGTAAGCACCTTTAGACCACGCCAGACAGAAGCAGAGTCGTTTGCTGAGAGCTGATGTTGGAGTTTCTCAGAGTATTGTTGTTTAGCATCTCTCACCGCCTTGACAAAGACGTACTTCGACTCTCTAAAACGTGCCTTATCGCCTTTTCTAAACGACTCCTTCTTTTGCAATCTTAGCTGTTTCAGTTTTGGTGTGAACCAGGGCTTGTTGTTGTTGAAACTCACCCTGGTGCGTGTTGGTACACAGCTTTCCTCACAGAAGCTGATGTATGACGTCACAGCCTCTGTATATTCATCCAGACTTTGAGTGGCAGTCCTGAACATGTCCCAGTCAGTACAGTCCAAACACGCCTGAAGTTCCTCCATAGCTTTACTGCTCCACTGCCTGAATGTCCTCACTACAGGTTTACACAGTTTGAGTTTCTGCCTGTATGCAGGAATCAGGTGGTCCATGGTGTGGTCAGAGTAGCCCAGTGCAGCGTGGGGGACGGCGTGATAGGCTCCCTTGATGGTGGTGTAACAGTGATCCAAAATATTCCCCTCTCTGGTGGGGAATTTCATAAACTGTTTGTATTTTGGGAGTTCGTGGCTGAGGTTGCCTTTGTTAAAGTCACCAAGAACAATAACTAGGCAGTCCGGATAAGTCGGTCGGCGAGTGTGCGCTGTGCCTCCTGCACGTTCGCATGCGGTGGAATGTAAACACCGACCAGTATGAATGAAGAGAACTCGCGGGGGGAATAAAAGGGTTTGCAGTTGATGATAAGAGTTTCCAGAGTGGGAGAACAGTGCTGCAGAATCACTGTCACATCGTTGCACCAGCCACTGTTTGTGTAAAACATATTCCTCCATCTTTTGATTTGCCAGAGAGCTCCGTGTCACGATCCGCTCTGAACAGCTGGAAGCCTCCCAGCTGCAGCGCTAAGTCCTGAATCCATCCACACAGCCAGGTCTCAGTGAAGCACAAAACACAAGATGAAGAAAAGTCTCTGTTTCTACTAACCAGTTGCTGAAGCTCGTCCAGTTTATTTAGTGTTATTCTACGCACGAAAAGTTTATTATTCCGCCGACTTATTATTCCGCCGACTTATTTTGCCGCGCTTCTTCTCCCGCATTGAACATCGCAGAAACTCCGTTCAAACATCAAAACGTTCAGCTCGGTCGGGAATCGATGGCTATTACTTTTCTCATTCATAACTTTCATAATTCCAGAGATACATCCCATAATATATCCCATTTTTAACTATTGCAGTCAATGGAGGAAATCTTCAGACTTTAACAAATCTTCATGCGACTTCAACTGCTAACTGTTCATTCATACTTTCACTCAGAAACCTCATTCTAACTTTAAAATGTTACAGATCTTTCTGACATTATTCGTCTAAAACAACTTTTAAATCTGATTCTTACTTTTAGAGATATTAAACATTGTTCAGACCTTGTTATAGAGGTTTTCTTCAGATTTTAAGAGATCTCACCATATGCCGTTTCCATGGAAACGCATCCCTCGCCATAAAACATGATGTTGCTATAACTCCTATGAAAATTGTCAAAAAGTGCTAAAACTTCACATGTGTGCCAACAGTCCAGCCGCGAAGACATCTACGGGACAGTTTTGAGATTTATTCAAATGCCGTTGCCATGGCAACACAATGCTCGCCATGCAACACGGTTTTCTCATAACTTCAGTGAAAATGGCCCAAAACTTCACAGGTTTGGTAACGATGCAGCCATCAACGCATCTAAGCGTATTATGGGGTGTCATCAAATGCCGTTGCCATGGCGACAGATCATTCGCCATCAAGTAAGTTCAGAAGTTAGCAGTTCAAATATTCTGCTGCTTTTCCAAGCCTTTTTACTTTATTTTCTTCTCTCATCACACATTCAAGCCCCCAGTGTTTATGTATCATTTCAATCTAAATTCTTCACTTTCTTCTTACACATTACATTTCAGCATAGCAGTTTAGCGTCAGCTTTTCAGCATAAAGCATTCCCACTAGCAATTTCTTCAGGAATTGCATTCTCTAGTTGCTTATGGAACGCACGTTGGAGAGGAATATTCCGGGTAGCGGCGTGCGAACTCCGCAGCTCCGGAGGCGCACAAGTGTCCCGGCCCGTCTCCCTCTCCTGTGGCGTTTCAGTGCTCGAATGCACGTGAGGGTACCTTTTACAAGAATGTCCAATAATTCCACGGAAGAGCAAAGAAAAGTAGGAAAGTAATCCGCTGAATTTGTTTCTCTAATGTTTAGGAGCTCTTCCCTGGTGAAAGAGTTTGGTGTACTATATGTAAAGACTGAATTAACGCACAAAACAAAAGAGCACAAAACACCGAAGCAGCCATCTGCGGCACCATCTGCGGCGCCATCCTAGTTGTACAATGTTAATGTTAATGGATTATTTGAACATTACATAATAATATCATTTTAACTATGGATTAATTTCAGAGATTGCAAATTGTGATACATTTATATTGTTTTGGCTCTGTACCAACACATTAGATTCATAATTATTCAATATCTAATAATAATGTTCATTTTTTTGTGGAACAGTGTAAGAACCCTTTTTCTCATCCTTATGTTGTGAGCAGCGGGACAGTGAAAGGCGGTGTGCAATCAATTGGAATGAAATCATCCCTAAAAATTCAATTAATTTAATTTTGTAATGAAATGAATTAATAATTGATTCTGACGATCTGGAGGTTTAGAAAAAAAAGGCTTAAAAAGACCATAACAGTGCCCATTTTATTTCAACTTTGGTTCATATTTTCTTCGGCAACAATCTAAATCATTGCAGACCTGAATGTTCTGTATGATGCAAGATTGAACGGAAATTAATATCCTGCTAAACAAAAATATCTGAAATCTAAAAAATGGTGAGCTAAAGCCTTAAGGTTACAAAAATTATAGTTAAAAAGAGCAAGCTAAGTTCAGTCCTACCCTGGTGGTTTGTCCCAGTCATCCTCACTGAACCCTCCGTCACTGAACAGGTAGTTCTTCCGGCGTCCAGGTGGAGGTGTGGTGCTGCGCTGCTGCTTGGCGCTACGCCACTCGTGGGGGTGGAGGGCAATACCAGCGGCCTGGTGGTTGTATGTACCTGCAGAAGGAATACAAAAACGACATGAAGTACTCATTTATAGTTTGCCATTGTAGGAGAAACCGATTACTGTAAATAAATGTTCGGGCTCAGAGCACTGGTGGCTAAGCTACATGCTAATCACGCTACATACCGCGCTAGCAAAGCAGTGTGTGGGCAAGGGGAGCTAATGTGACTCACAGATACATTACCGATAACTAATCAATTTAAAGGTGATAAACCCACACTCTAAGGAAGATTATAATCTCTGGAGTTTACTCCAATTAAATGTGAGTCATTACATGAATTACCGGTCAGTTGTGTGGCAACGTTAGCTAGCTTAACTTGACTCAACAACACTAACAAAATCAGTGTTACTGTACAACTACAACTTCAAGGCAAACGGAAAACAACAGGTAACAACATAAGTATATCTTTAATTGGAAGATGTATTCCTAATCTTGATCAATTTTTTTTCTACTGTAGATAATTGTTTGGCAGACTACTGTTAACTGCATCGTAGCGCCACCGTCAGGCCATGAATGAGATACGTTTTCTGTGGTTTGTTCAGAAGACAGTAATCACCTTGTAGTCTTTAGTTATAATAACAGCAGAACAGGTGAGGATATGGTATTTACACTGCTATGGTCAGTTGAACAGAATAGATGAACCGAAAAGGATGATGTCCGTAGCCTACAGGCTATAAACAGACTCGGTAGGCGACACAACAAGGATTCTGTAATGTTGTGAGGAAATCTGTATTAATAAATGTAGTCTATCCTCTACCATCTATTTGTTCAATCCACTTCTGCATATATTTACACCATTGTTAGGGGGCTGACCATTTTAAAAGAGTGCTCAGTTACTTCTGTACAGATAAATACAAATTTGATATTATAAATATAACCATTTGGATTTGGGATGTTTCCTTGCTATATGATTTTTAAATCTGGGGCGGCAGTTTCTCAGTCTCTAGGGATTTAGCTTTGGAACCGAATGGGAACTTGTTTGAGTCCCGCAAGGACCAACATTTGCTCTGACACCTCTGTCTTTTCTGTCTGTCAGTGAGTTTCCTCATGTGGGATTTATCTAGTGATGTAGGGCAGATGGAGACACTGTTTGGGCTTCCTTCCCCCTGTGGGATTAATACATTTGCTCTTCCTCTAAAGCTTACCCTGGCTGCCATATCCAGCGTCCATCCCTGAGCCGTCCCATGACTCCATGGCAGAGTCCACGCTGGGTATGGTTGTGGAGTAAAGCTCTGAGAGCTTATTGGTCTGTTGGCTGTCCGTCAAATCATCCTCCTCAGTGTCACTGATCTCGTTTTCCGTTGTGTCCTCTGCCTCTGCTGCCTTCCTATCCTCTATATCTTTGAGAGAAAAGAGCGGAATAAAGTTGATCCAATAAATTATCATTAAACAACAAAGACAACGTTGATTGCAAGTCAGAAGCTAATGTTGATACGATATGTAAAACTGTTCACATTGTGTTAAAACTCAAACATTTATGAACGTTTTTTTGGGGCTTTATAAAATGAGTGTGTGGCTGATTCCCGAAACACTGAGTTCAATTAAGAAGCGTGGAAATCTTTATAAAGATAAAGCAAAGTAAAAAGTTGTTTCATTGCAACTTCATGGTTTAATTTCTATATTTTAAAATGTATATTAAAGACCTTCTAATTGTATAAAAAGCTCTTAATGGTTCTGCAACCTCTTATATCATCACTTCTCCTTTGTTTGATGTCCGATGCACTAAGGTTCTCAACAGCACGCTTTTTTATTATTCCAAAAGTTCCCCAAAATAAAATTGGGTTAGCTGCGTTATTATTAAAAAAAAATTGTAATTAGTTTATTATGCATATAAATAAATATATTTAAATATATATATATACAAATATATATATATATATATATAAATATATAAATTTGTATAAATATATATATTTAAATATATATATATATTAGGGCTGTCAAACGATTAAAAATTTTAATCAGATTAATCACAGCTTAAAAATTAATTAATCATGATTAATCACCATTCGAACTAGGTCCAAAATATGCCATTTATTTATGTATATTGTTGTGGGAATGGAAAGATAAATGAAAGAAGGCAGATATATCCATTTAACATACAGTATCTATGTTTATTATAAAAAAATTCTGTGTGTCAAAATGAAAGACAGCCCACACACCTATCAATCATCAAACCGTGGGGTTTTAATTCATTACGTGTTGATTTCTATCAACGGGGGAGTACTTCAGGAAAGTCGACAGAGGGGGGGGGGGGCGCCGGCGGCGGCTAGTGGAGTACTTCGTGACCACAGAGTGTGAACGTTGTGATCAGCTCAACGCGCAGTTCTCCAGTGAAGGGGGGGAGTCTCCCTCCGCAGCCGGTTGGCGTAGTTTTGGCACAATTCCGTTGTACAGACCGACGTTAACAGCAGCCCTGTCTGTGCACACGGAGACCGACTCTGTCGTCCGGTGATCTAACCGCCTTCTGGAAAAGATTCACAAGTACGTCGGTACGCAAATGCGCTTTGTGACACAAGTGACGGTACGCATTTCAGATTACGCACATAACCTGCGTACCAGTTATGTGCACCCCTGTACTACAGCAAAAGTATTCTCCGTCGGGACTTCCTGCAACAACACCACGCCGTTATCAAAGATGTTCTATTGAGAAGACGATCACTACGTGACAAAAGTTTTCAAAACCGTGGCTACTGAAATCAATCTTACTAACTGCTGTCTGTGCAATTTACTCCGCGCGAGTTGGCAGACTTTATTTTGCTTACTTTAACATCATTGTTCATGGTGGGGCTAAGCCATTTCTTGGTATGGGTGTTGCCTACCCCAGCCATACCCTGGCCTGCCACTGGTGGCACGTATGGGGCGGGCCATTCTGCACATGCGTTAAATGCGTTAAATATTTTAACGCAATTAATTCAAAAAATGTATTACCGCCGTTAACGCGATAATTTTGACAGCACTAATATATATACAAATATATATATATATATATTTGTATATTTATATAAATACATAAATACATAAAAATTGTGTCTTTAAAAAGAATATATATATATATATAATTCATACACATACATATATTCTTATTATTGTTCATTTATTTATTACTTTATTACATTTTAAATGTTGTTTTTTAAAATGTTTATATATATATTTGGGACTTTTTCTTGTATTTTTGATCTTTTCATAAAGGTGGGGTAGGTAATTTTGGAGAAACCAGCTCGAGTGCGCAAGAATTTGAAAATACACAGCCGGAAAGAATCTGCCACTTCCTTACAGAGCCCCTCCTCACCAATGAGGGCACGAGATAAGTTTGTGCACAGATGGAAGGCTGACAGGCAGGTAGGCCATCCAGTTACTTTAGCCGGGCCGGCTCAGATGATTGGTTGTGCTTTTTACAGCGCCACGGCTTCCACAGATGACATTTTTTTATGGATTTTTTGTCAAAGCACTTCAGATATTCATTGCTATCGGGATGTTAAGAGCATTCCATGGAATATAACAAAAAGTTTATCTCGAGCCGGTTTCTCAAACTTTATTTATTTATATCTTACTTTTGGATAATTTAATTTTATTTATTATCTTGGCTATTTTACTCATGTACTATGCTGCATGTGTGTGAATATGTTTTACCTACTTGAATGATTTTTTGTTTGTGTTTGAGCTGCATCCTGTTTATTTATTAGAAACACTTTTCATACATACTGTCCAGTTGTTTTTTGATCTTGAGAGTTACGGTCTCCCCAGCCATCTGCAGCAGGTGGATGGCCTCACTCAGGGGCTTCCCTTTCAGACTGATGCTGTTGATCGCCAGGATCCGATCCCCTACATGAATAGCCCCTGTCCTGCACACACATGAAAACATCACACAGTCACACACCCAAGAGGAAACACACAACATAATGCACAATTATGTTCTATGCTCACATCAACAGATGACTATCACACGTGAGGTTGAGATACGTCGTAGGTAATTAAGATAATGATTCATTATCATGAACGGGAAGTCAAGAGTAATTTAATTAGATCATTTTAAATTAAAAAAAAGACCATGACTTTGTACAGACTTGTTCCAAAACATACTGTATGTGTATACACATGTTAGTTATAGGACACAGTATATACAAACCAGAAACACAAGGCTGCAGCGGATTTAGGAATTTATTTTTAAGTTATGAATGTTTCAACTTGATTTATGTTAACAACTGCATGACTAGTGAAGGGTCACAGCAAGGTGACTCTGTCGACCTTCAGTCCCATTATCGCCGGCCACCGCATGAAACCAGAGTTAAAGCAAACCAATCCTTTATCCTGCGGCCTACTTTGATACAGATATTAATGCTTTAGATCACTAATCTCACCCTGGTCATAGACAAATATATCACATGTACATGCCCAAGGGTGTAACTTTGGTTTGAGAAGTGGGGGGGACACAAAACAGGGGGTCCTCCGCAATGAAACATTTTCTCAATTTAATTGCATTTCCTGCCTTTCTACAAATATATTAGGGACTATAGTGTTAACAAATCCAAGAAAAATGTGTAGTGTATATAATGAGTGTGCATACTTATCTAGTATCCTATCCATGTGAACCTGTTTTATTTGTGATGACCTAACATCCTCTAGGGAAGATTTGTTTCTTTAAATTGAAGCTAAATGCATCAATCTGGTGCACTTTGAGGGCTACATTAAGAGATGTATGGATACAGCTCTCAACACTCATATGAAACAGAACTGTATATATTTCAATAACCAAAACCATTAGAATATGCTCACAACCAATAACACATCATTGATAAACTCCTCTCCTATCTTTATCTTACCTAGTCTGCATTCTTTCTTTTTATTTATGCATATTTTACTAATCACTCCCCTTTCAAACTGTTTTTTATTTTGTAGGCTACTGACCTATAGTAACCTACACATTGGAAGGATTTCTTAACTTATTTTATATGCAACTAATATTACATAGATGGAAATATTTCTTTACAAAGATGACCAAACCGTTTGAGACCCACTGAGATAACTAGACTAAAGTTTACAATCTAATCGCTCAGAGTCCTTTACCTCCCTGAGCTGACGTTATCTCTCTCAGTCTGACAGGAGAGGACTCCCCCTCTCCTGTTGAAACAGCTACTAATCTCCGTTAGCTCCGAGCTAGCACCAGATGCTAACAACAATCCTCTCTCTCTCTCTCTCTCTCTCTCAGCTCTCGTGGATGATCTCGACTATCGCTCTCGCTCCTACTATTCTATCGCTCTCTTAGCTCGCGATATATCTCTCTCTCTCTCTCCTATTCTTCTATCTCTCTCTCTCTCTTCTCTCTCTCTCTCTCTCATCTCTCTCTCTCTCTCTCTCTCTCTCTCTCTCTCTCTCTCTCTCTCTCTCTCTCTCTCTCTCTCTCTCTCTCTGTGATATCTTGAGTTTCTATTTACCTAATCTGGTCAACCAATACCAAGGCTCACAATTGGCTAAAAGTCAAACTAGGTCAGTGCGAACATGTTCCATGTGCAACAGAATACTTTATTTGGGGGAAATCGGTTTTGATGACAGTTCCTTGATTTTAGGATGCAATAAAAAAAAAAGATACAATAAAAAATGTATAAAACATTAAATAAAAAGGGATTTCTTTTTTCCTCATCAGCAACATCCCCGTTCTATTGAATGATTTTGTGTTGTTTTATATTTTATATTTTTTTAGCTGCATCCTGTGTAATCCTGTATGATTGTATTTTAAATAAAATAGAATAAAAATATAAACACAATAACTTTATATTTATATAAATATTTAAAGCAGAAATGTTGACGTAGTCTTACTGTGTGAAAATGAGTCTATGTACAGTATAGAGTGCTTTTAGCCATCAGGTCTGTTTCATTGAAAATGACATCACAAACTCCAATAAACCAAATCTCTTTGGGTGTGTTTTGGTGGAATAAAGCGTGAGTCTGTTATAAAAGCATGTTATTTAGAAGTTTATATAAGCTGTATTTGCCAGTGGATGATTATGACTCAGAGCCATTACGTCATGTTGAGCCTGTTGCTGTGCACACTGGCTGCCCTGCCACCTCTCCACTGCATCATGCTCCTCATTATCTCACCCGTCAGCGCCTCCTCACGTGGAGCCTGCTGCACACTCAGCTGCTGCCGGGGAATCCCTCTATTTATTGCCCAAGGCATCTCCTGTTATTTCTCCTAATAAGGTTTTCCCCCACTGCTTCATGAAGCCTAAATAAGGTCTGAGCTAAAGTTTTATTGAGTGCCGGAATGATCCAAATTAAAATGTTCACTGCAAATAATGGAAATGGGACAATTCTGACTAAATCAGCAACCGCGCTTGAGAGTCAAAAGGTCGTGACCCTAACTTTACTGTTAGGACCTTTGACACCAAAGCCTTATAATATAATAATTGTTATTCTGACTGAGGATGGAGGAAGCTGTCTTTAATCTGTAGCTCTCTGCCTCACCAGTGCTGCTTTCTGGGGGTCAGCAGAGGTGTGGAGACATATGTGTGAACACTTTTCATGAGCCACACAGAATTCACACTGGAAAACTTTATTGGTGGGACTAGTTGTCTGTGAGTCAAAAACAAAACAAAGAGATCTAATCCTTATTATATTTTTATTAATTGTATTAGACATTTTACTTTAACTTCAATTGTTTGTATACATATCTTTATTTTATTTTGTGCTTTCCTTTTTTGCACATTGTTAATTGAGCTTTTTCTTTATTTGAATATTTTTCTTCTATTTATCTTTTATTATATTTCATTCTAAAGTTGAGCAACAGTCACGGAAACCAGTTTCCCCTAAATAAAGTGATATCTTGTTATACGCACGAAGAATAATTCCAAACTATAAAAAAATAATTTGTGTAGTTTACCAATTATTCTGTGAAAGGTGCCTTATGTTTACATGCAGTTTCATTTGCCAACAAGTATTATGTTAACCCCTAACAAACATGTTCCTCAAAAAACCCAATGCAGAGCTAACGTTTCAGCGTTTCAAATTGAATCTGTGTTTTATTAGTCTATACAATCTGCTTTCGTGCCTTTGTTGTTACAACATCCAATTGTGCATTATTGTTCAAGACAAGTAATACAAATATAGTTCCATAGTACTAATAGCTGTATAAGACTTCACATGGTGCCTGATAAGATGTGTTTACCGTACTAAGTGTTGGGATCAAATGAAGTTAAAATAAGGTATTTCTTTCATTTAGTCAGTTATTTTCCATTTTTAAATGTCAAATAATTTTAATATAGTTGTTATAATAGTTCAGTAGCACTCATTTTAATTTAATTGTTGTTATATATATATTGAATAATGTAGGAAGAAAACAATTACCTCCAGCTGCTTTACTGCTGTGCACGAGCTCCAACTGGTAACCTAGATTTCTAAGAGGAGATATTGTGTGTGTGTGTGTGTGTGTGTGTGTGTGTGTGTGTGTGTGTGTGTGTGTGTACCTCTCGGCCAGGCCTCTCTTGGTCAGGCCGGATATAGTGATGGGGTCGAACGGCTCCTCGGTGCCTGAGATGGTGATGCCCAGAGGGCCCCCGTACCTCTTCAGCTCCACTGTGTAGATGATGCTGCCCGAGGTCTCCTGCTCATCTGAGACACACACACACACACACACACACACACACACACACACACACACACACACACACACACACACACACACACACACACACACACACACACACACACACACACACACACACACACACACACACACACACACACACACACACACACACACACACACACACACACACACACACACACACACACACACACACACACACACATTACTCTAATGTTTCAACTCCATAGATGATACATCCTGACACACACACACTTGCCACTTGCTAATTATTTTACATGTTATCTGTTCACACTCTAACACATGCATATACACTGGACACACACACACACACACACACACACACACACACACACACACACACACACACACACACACACACACACACACACACACACACACACACACACAAATGCTCTCTTTCCAAAAGTAGGTCAAACTGTTCCCGAACCAACACTGGTGAGGAAGAGGCAGTTTCCATGGTAACTGGAAAAGACTGCCTTGTCATCATGTAGCAGAAACACATAATCTCTGCAGTTTAACACGTGTGTGTGTCCGTGTGTGTGTCTGTGTGTGATCCATCCTCCTAGTGATAATCTGGCATGATCACACAATTCCTTCCGGTATCCACTGTGACACTAAGTACATTTACTCAAGTATAGTATAATTTCCGGGTACTTGTACTTTACTTAATTTAAATTGTTGCTACTTTGCGAAACATTGTGATATTACTACGATTACTTTACGGCTGTAGTTACTTTTTAAATAAATTACATAATGTGATTACACTACAGTACACAAAATGTGCACCACATTTACAAATTAAGACACAGCAACACTCTTAAATGTATTTAAAAACAGAATAATATAATAGTTTTATGATAACACATCGAATACAACAAAGAGCAAGAACTTGACTACAATTTATAAAAAATAAAAAATAAACATACTGCACTTTATATTAAGTATAATGTTGAATTCATACTTGTAATGGAGTATTTTAGGACTGTGGTATTAATACTTTTACTTGAAGAACTTAAAGGATCTGAGTATTTGTTTCACCATTTGTGTCATCTCTATGCAACTTCCTGGAGTAAATAAACCAACACAGTTTTCAAGAGGTTGGGTGTAAGGTCAGTAACACGCACATGACTAAGATGACGCATAACTGTCCTACGCTGAATTAGAATGTACCATTAGATCACCAGGATATACATTTTCTACACACGTTCTTACTGTTATCCCTTATATATATTTGTTTGTTTTCTTAATGTTTTATTTGAATTGGTTCATCCCGGATTAAATTGTTTTACACATGTTTCCCCACTGAATAAAGATGAATGTTACAGTACAGTTCATTTTAAAATGTGCTTGAGTTGTGGACAACAGCACCATCTGGTGGTCAAACACTGTCAGTGCATTTTCTTTAAACTTGTTGATGAGCTGATGATTTTTAAACTATATGATTTTGTCATTTGCTTCAGCTAAATTCTTGAATTAAAATTATTTTCAGTAAACATATAACATCTATAAAAAATAATTTCACGACAGATTTGAAATGTGTCATTCATCTTTTGGGAGATTTGGATGTGTTTGTTTTAACACAACAATGAGACCTGAGTTGTCTTCGTCCTTGCGTATCTTCAGTTTGACCAGCTCCTCACACTGCTGCAGGATCTGCTCCGCCTCATCTTTGGAGCAGTTCTCCAGCCGGATGTTGTCGATGGCCAGCAGCTTGTCCCCAGGCTCCAGGGTCCCCGTTCTGAGGAGAGACAGAGACAGGAAGCAAGACAAATGTGGAACCAGAAAGTTTCATTCATAATGGTTAAACTACAGCAGCCTATCAGATGCCTCTCAAAAGAGTACAGGTGTGATAAGGACAGTGAGATACATACACAGAGAAACACAGCTGTGATATCTCCAGAAGAATATCATATCATATATTGTAATATAATTAAAAGATAATATGATATAACTTATCACAATACAATATAATAGAATATAAAAGGATACAATCTTGATATAAAACAATGCAATATAAAATAAAATAAAATAATGTAATAGAATAGAATAGAATATAATGCAAAATTGAAATGTTATATAAAATAAAATAAATACTATCATATACTTTAATAGGATATAATACAAGGTTACATAATATATTATGATGATATAATTATATACAATATAATATAATGCTATATGATATATACGGAGCCCTGGAGGGTTCATAGAGAGAAAAATAAATAAAACGTGGCCACGTTTTACTTTCTCGTGCGCACGCTTTAGTAACTCGTGCGCACGAGTTACTAAAGCGTGCGCACAAGTTAATAAAGCGTGCGCACGAGTTACTAAAGCGTGCGCACGAGTTACTAAAGCGTGCGCATGAGTTAATAAAGCGTGCGCACGAGTTACTAAAGCGTGCGCATGAGTTAATAAAGCGTGCGCACGAGTTACTAAAGCGTGCGCACGAGTTAATAAAGCATGGCCTCGTTTTGTGTGTGTGGGGGGGGCATTTGTTTATGATAGTATCGTTCGTTCCGGTGCACTCCGGCAGGACTATAGCACATCGAGATTAAGATTAAACACATTTCTTTCACTTGGGAATACACTTAACTATGGGGAACCAGATTTGTTTAAAGTACTGTTCGTGGTGTCGGATACACACGAACACGCACACAGAGCGGAGCTGAGCACACACACACACATCATGCGCCCCGGTGACAGGACATCTCCTTCATAAAACGAGGGGGAATACTCTGGTAGTTCGATGTGTGTAGAGGTGTGTGTGGTTAAACGTAGCAGCCTCGATCTCTATTCAGCGGTTCTAATGAAGGGAAACGCAGTGAAATAAACAGTAAAAGGCACAGCTCTTTGCAGCTGGTGCTGCTCTTCTCAGATTCTGCTGAGTTACACGTTACTGCCTCAGTGCCCTGTACGACGAAGCCAGTTCAACAGACCCTGGACCTGGACATGTTCGATTTACCCGGCTTAACTGACCCTAACAAACGCGATGTCGATAAGCGGTCCTACGAAGCTGGTTATCAACTCAGTAAATCAACCAGGGTTTCTCTGTCCGGCTGAGAGCGCGTTCATGTGAAAGGGACGGGGTTAGCAACATTTGACCAATCACAAACATGGAGACGCATGCTGACAGCGCAGCGTCATACTTCATGAATGAATAGTGTAAATAGCCAATCCTGCTTCGTAGTACAGGCCACTGGTGCCGCTGAGATTTCATAAAGTGAAGGAGGTTTTCCTTCTATAAAACAGCTGTGGGCAGCAGATACTGTGAGTCAAGGACAGGAATCCCTCAATTTAAATAAAACGAGGCCACGCTTTATTAACTCGTGCGCACGCTTTAGTAACTCGTGCGCACGCTTTAGTAACTCGTGCGCACGAGAAAGTAACTCGTGCGCACGAGAAAGTAAAACGTGGCCACGTTTTATTTATTTTTCTCTCTATGAACCCTCCAGGGCTCCGTAGATATACTATAATATAACAATATAATATAATAATTACAGTTAATATAATATAAAATAATCTAATATAGTATAATATAATACAATATTATATTGTATAATATAATATAACAGATACCTGTGGGCCATGCTGCCCTTCTTGATGTCAGAGATGATGAGGGGCTCTCCTTGCTTCTTACTGACTGTGGAGACAACATAAGAAAGTGTTTATAACATTTCTGTCAAATATGCAGCGATGGAATTTAACTAAATACATTTACTCAAGGACTGTATTTATATACAATCTTGAAATACTTGTACTTTACTTGAGTATTTCAATGTAATGCTACCACTGCATTTAAAAGGGACATACTGCTAAACTTTAAACCAAATTATAATTCTAAAGATGAAACAGTGAAATATTGATGGTACAAATAGGTAAAATCCTATAGAGAAAGTCCTCAACATCAGTAATGTGTCCATCACAACTGTGTTTGCCTACTTGGTGCAACGCTATTAACCATCTGTGTCATTGAGACATTGATACATCCCATATGGAGCCTCTTTTTCCTGCAGTTCTTTTACATTTGTTACCTTAAGTACAATTTGCTAATATTACTTCTGTACTTTTAGTAAGTGAGATTTTGTATGTAAGACTTTTATTTTCATTAGAGTATTTTGAGATTGTATTGATACTATTATTCAGTAAAGGATACTTTTTTTTTTCAACACTGCAAATGGAAAAAAATAATGTTAATTCAATATAATCTGAACCTTTCAAAATGTCAAACTCTTCAGTTGCACTCTGACACTGAGGAAGGCTGACATTGTTTCGATAGGATTGGTATTGTCAGGTTATATACATTTTTCTTTTTTAGGATACAAATTGTTTAAATTGGGTGTAAAATGTGTAAAATGAGTTAATGTGTGTGTAAGATCCTTCTAATTTCAGCTGTGAACACTGTATTTCAGAAGATGGCAGTATTGCACCGTTCTCTGTCTCAGAGGCAGCCACAGCACAGCCTGATATTTATACATTATGAAGTGAAACTGCAAAGGTGTCGGACTCCAATCAAACCTCATTCACCAACGTCATTTTAATTTTGATGCATACAGAACATAACCATATTCTGATGCCGTTTTCTCCTTCATTTGCACATTTACGCTGAACAATAAGTCTGAGTTACTTGTACTTTACAATTCTACTTCTTTAAAGCAAACATTTCTACTTTTTACGGAAGCACATTATTCTGTCAGTTTAACACTAATTACAAAGAAATACTATAATATATATATTAAGTCTGAAATGGGTTGTGCTACAGGTATAAGTAATTATATCTGTAGCACAGGTATAAGTAATTATACCTGTGGTACTATATACTGTATTTAAACTCTAATACTTTTGTACTTTTATTTTACGCTTTGTATGCATTTCTTTTACTCGAAACAGAGTATTTAATCACAGATGGTTGATAAATAAAAAACTGATCAGTCAGAGGAATATTTTGTATGGTTTGTATCTGTTGATACATTTTACAATTTTTTTTAAAAATACTTGCACATGTATTTATTAGGGCTGTCAGTCGATTAAAATATTTAATCGCGATTAAAATATTTAATCGCGATTAATCGCATGATTGTCCATAGTTAATCGCGATTAATCGCAAATTAATCGCACATTTTTTATCTGTTCTAAATGTACCTTAGAGGAATATTTTTCAAGTTTTTAATACTCTTATCAACATATGAGTGAACAAATATGCTTTATTCTAATGTTTATTATCATTTGAACAATGACAAATATTCGCCTCAATTCAACCTGGAACCTCTCTCATACAATAATACAATACAAATGGTGTGTGTGTGTGTGTGTGTGTGTGTTGGATCATTGGAGCTATGTGCAACTCAAGGCATATGCTCGAACGGGAGCTGCCTGGACGCTGCAATCATGTTGCGCACTATCCGTGCTGAGTGTGCTGACTTTTCGTACAATGTCCCACTGTCTGGCTTCCTGCATAAAGTCAAGTGCTCGGCACAGTTGTGGCAAAATGTAGCTCCTCTGTTTTCATTTAAACAGCTCCTTATATCCGTTAGCGCAGCTAGCTAGCACCAGATGCTAACAACAACAATGCACGTAAGGTCTCTCTCTCGCTCGCTCGAGCCACACATACACACACCCTCCCGGTCCTCCAGATGGCCAGTCGGTGCCTGCCGGTGAGCGTGGAAGTGTGGTCTGCCACAAGCGGGCGGCAGGAGCGGGGCTGTCAGCATCAGCTTGTAGATGGTATTTTAAACTCGATGCGCTCTGAAACTACGGGGCGGCCGAGGAAAAAAAATACACATGCGTTAATCGCGTTAAAATAATTAGTGGCGTTAATTTTATGCGTTAATTTTATGCGTTATTAACGCGTTAACTTGACAGCCCTAGTATTTATATATAATTCAGTTCATGCTACTTCAAATATAACAGTTTATGTTGGTGTCACGGTCTGTCTGTGTTTTGTCTGTCTCTGGTTTCCTGTTTTATTTTTAAAAGTGTTCACCCCCTGGTTGCGGTCCGATAATCCAAAAATCAGCTCCTAACGTCTAACCCTATCGTCTATTCCTTGACCTCTGAGTGAAACGTCACGGGGTTAAGGGATAGTGGATAGGAGAATTCAAAAGGACTTAGGAGAAGAGACTGCGGTACTTTAGAGCAGTGGTTCTCAAATGGGGCTACACGGACCCCTAGTGGTACGTTGGAGTAGCTACTGCAGGGGGTACGTGACATTTATTTTATATTAATGAAAAAAACAAAACATAAATGCATTTACACAAACTACTAATAGTAGATGAACTACTTTATTCAAAGGTTTACAGTAATTCTGGATACTAAAATGGGAACAATAAACGGGGTGCTCTCTTTTCCTCTCCCTCTCCTGACAGCCCGTCAGTCTCGTGCAGCTCGCTGAACCTGTAATAAGTGACCCGACAGTAAAGAATACATATATTTATAACTAGTTTAGCTAGTTCCAGAGTAGATAAACTAGCTAAGTGTGTTAGGTCTAACTCTTAGTGTATTTTGCTCCGCTCAACGGTCCGTCACAGCGGACGAGCTGTGATCATGCAGAGCTGCGTGCTCTCCGTCAGCAGCAGCTGATCTGATCTCTCTCTCTCGCGTCCGGTTATACTTCACTCGCGTCTATGTCCAAATCTATCAGATCTAGCTAGTTCTAGTTAATGATATGATATGTCAATAAACCTTTGAAAATCTTGAAAGGGATGTGCAAAATAGCAATTATATACCGTTTTTAATTAACTATTAGTAGAGAATAACGATTAATGAATATACTTTATAGGGATCTGCAGATAAATGTTTAGTCTTCTCAAGCACCAACAATCAAATATCTCTCCTGATTGTTGGCACTTGACAATCACCTTTCCCTGAATTTTACTCAGGTGTAACTAAAGTCTGCTTTAAGGGTTGTTTATATTTCACATCATTAATCAGAATCTGCAAAGTAACTCATATAAGTGTAGTGGAGTAAAAATACCAGGTTAACCTCTGATTTGTAGTGGAGTAGAATTACAAAGTAACAATGAGCTGTCATGTGGGTATATATTAATGCTGCCCATTATGGATACAAGCGATGTTCACCCATTTAGTAATTACATGTTTTAAATTTGTACACACCAATTTGTTTCCTATCGCCTAAACCTCCAGGGCTGTACACAGTTTAATACTGTCAACTTCTAATTTTGGAAAAACCGAAAACGTCTTTTAAAACTACAATTCCCAGTAGAGACTTGCCATAGAGAAACAATAGCCAGCATGTGTAGTTCTGGGGGGGCGTTCGAGTCCAGTTTTGAATAGTCTGCCGTGGTTTCGTTCCATTTCAAAGAGCTTGACGCTCGGCGTAACCTTGGCGCACTGCCACTCCAACATCCAATCCCAGAGCTTGAAGATTAATCACGGGGTTTGTCAACGGGACTGTAGTCCCAAACGATAGCAGGGGATTATGGGTAGTGTAGTGTCTTCGGCCATCCTAAACTGAATTTTTTTCCGGATATCATATTGCATTAACAACACCACATCTGGCGTCACAGAGATCTTCTGTTACTGTCCTTTCTTCTTAGAGGAAGTACAGAAACACGTAACTTTGGATTTGTTTTAATGTTTGAGGTGCAATAAACGACACAGCAGCTTTTTGGCATGTTAAAACTATTATTTTCTGCCTCGCTCATGAGAGTAACAGCTGGCGAAATTACAGCCTCGCCTACTGATTTATGTGTGCTCTAAAATGATATTTATAAATGACCATTATCATTATTATAAGCAAGACAATAAATGGCAAAGATATGTAGAAAATAAACGTATTTGAGATACGTTCATAACGAACGTAACGTGGGAGAAAACATGTTTCTAGAAGATAGCCTATGTAGAAAATAAACGTCTTTAAGATACGTTCATAAGAAACGTAACGTGGGAGAAAATAAGTTTCTAGCTAAACGTAATTGAGAATGCAGTTTAGTTCTGTGGGAACGTAATTTTTAGGAGACAGGGTTGCCATAATACATTCTGACGAAAAATACAAATTATTATGAATACAAATAAAATAAAAGAAGCCTCCCGCGAGTTACTACAAGCTATAAAGTAGATTTTAAAAACGTTTTATAGAATAAAAGCTCACTGCTGGACGTTGTAGAAATGCGTGTGTGCACCACGACAAAGGAGCCTCATTCACTTTACATTGGGGTTGTTTGCGTGGTGCAGACACGTAAATGTAGCAAAGTTCGTGACTCCACCACGCAATGCGGTGTTAAGGAGTCGTGGTGGAGTCACGCATTCTGGTGAGATCAGGTTGTATAATACTGATGAACGTTCAAATCAAAGCACTTTGGCAACTTACCACATACGATTTAAAATGCTTAATAAGCACCGTAACTTTCATGATATCATTTCTCGGTCATAATCGGTTGTTTCCGTGAACGGCCGACATGGAAGTCGAAAGGAAGTTTGAAACCTCCTTTCCTATCATAGAGAATTCGAACCGCACTTATCATGGCTGCCACTGAGGGACTTCCGGGTCATTTCACTCCGTTAGGAAGGTTCCTAAGCTAAATGGACTATTCGACTTCAGCCCCTGTCTTGTCTGTTGATTCCTGTCTCTGTGTTTGCCCTCCTGTATCTGATTTCCTGATTGTGTTCACCTTGTGCCCCTGTGTTTTCTCCTCCCTCCTCACCTGTGTCTTGTTTGTGTGATTAGTCTTGTGTGTATTTAAGTTCTGGTTTTTCTGTCTGTCTTTGTTGGATTGTTGTTTGTCTGTGACTGTGTTCACGGGGTAGTGTTCTGTTTGTCACCGTGTAAAACCTTGAAATAAAGGTATTTTCTGTGTAATCGACATTTGGGTCCTGCCTGCTTCACTCAACCCTGACAGTTGGCAGACTTAAATAAACACACATTCCAGAGACTAATGATTAGCATCATCAACACTGTAGGAGATCAGGACTAAAGCTTCACAGTGAAGTGTTTGAGCAATGACTTCATCACTAATTCTAATAAAGTCCCTCACCAGTAGAACATACAAAGAGTTTCAGACTTCATCCACTATAACACATTGAAATAAAAGAGTGTACACATCTGTGTTGGTTGGTAACTGCATCCAAATAACATGTCGGTTCGAAACACAACAAGGGTAAAGGCATATTGATGCCCCACACATTACAGAAATATGGGTGTTAACGTCCTGCTTTGACTGCCTCCACTTTTCTGGGAAGAGTCCTTGAAAGACTTTGGACCCCGGCCACAGGGATTTGATAACTTTCAGACGGGCTTTAGTGAAGTCTGGTGATAAGACCTGACTCGTGATGGGATTAAGGTCAGAGCTCTGTGCAGCCCAGTCAAATTCTTCCACTCCAAACTGGGAACACTATTTATACAGACCTTTCTCTCTGCATATATGTAGATAACAGGGGAAACTGTTGCAGCAAAGTTCTGTTTTGAAGAGTCATTCTTATTCAGAAGCATTACGAGTTGCCTGTATTAAACCTTGAAATACTACGGTGGCCGACAGCTGCAAATGTGCTAAAACGGCCCAGAACACTTCCATTAGGAGAAAAGTTTCATAAACACATGCAAATGAAGAGACATCTTTAGAAACTTGACGAAACATGCGCAGCGTTTAAAAAACATTTACCAACTTGACGAAACATCGTATTTTTTTTTTTTTTCAGCACAGTTTTGACTGAAAGCGCTGCATAAATTATTATTACATTACATTGCATTTAGCTGACGCTTTTATCCAAAGCGACTTACAATAAGTACATTCGACCAGGAATGAAATGCTGCAAAAAAAACAACGCTGCCGCAAGCTCAAAACTAAACGGGAACAGGGACACTAAAAAGTGACGCACACAGCTGGGACCGGAGCGCTTGTTGACGTTTGGGGATTATAAAGTTTGCCAACAATCACTGTCACTGTAAACAAACATAAAATATACGTTTTATTTACTTATTTTGACAATGTGATCACATGATTCCTTCCAATATCTTTGCAGATCTGCTGTAAGCTAGCTGGGTAATGTAGCTAACTTGGTCATTTCAACTATACTGACAGAAACACTTACAATTATGAATCAGGCTAACTCTGCCAACAGTGACAATTGACCAATTTGATAATCCCCGAACGTCAACAAGTGCCCCGGTTGGTTGGTGTTTTCAAGATGCATGTGTTGTGGCACATTTGTGTTTATATTAGGGCCGTCAAGTTTTAAGTGGCGTTAAAATAAAATGAACGCCACTAATTATTTTAACGCGATTAACGCATGTGTATTTTTTGTCCTCGGCCGCCCCGTAGTTTCAGAGCGCATCGAGTTTAAAATACCATCTACAAGCTGATGCTGACAGCCCCGCTCCTGCCGCCCGCTTGCGGCAGACCACACTTCCACGCTCACCGGCAGGCACCGACTGGCCATCGGGAGGACCGGGAGAGTGTGTGTATGTGTGGCCCGAGCGAGCGAGCGAGAGAGAACGTGCACACCTTACGTGTATTGTTGTTGTTAGCATCTGGTGCTAGCTAGCTGCGCTAACGGATATATGGAGCTGTTTAAATGAAAACAGAGGAGCGACATTTCGCCGACAACTGCGCCGAGCACTTGACTTTATGCAGGCAGCCAGACAGTGGGACATTGTACGAAAAGTCAGCACACTCAGCACGGATAGTGCGCAACATGATTGCAGCGTCCAGGCAGCTCCCGTTCGAGCATGCCTTGAGTTGCACATAGCTCCAATGATCCAACACAGTGTCTCTCCACACACACACACGCACGCACACGCACTGTATTGTATGAGAGAGGTTCCAGGTTGAATTGAGGCGAATATTTGTAATGTTCAGAGGTTGTTGTGTTTAATATTCATGAGAATATTTGTCATTGTTCGAATGATAATAAACATTAGCATAAAGCATATTTGTCCACTCATATGTTGATAAGAGTATTAAAAACTTGAAAAATATTCCTCTAAGGTACATTTAGAACAGATCAAAAATGTGCGACTAAATATTTTAATCGACTGACAGCCCTAATTTTTTGTGATGTGCCATCAGAAAAAACAACAGACTGTGTGTGTGTGTGTGTGTGTGTGTGTGTGTGTGTGTGTGTGTGTGTGTGTGTGTGTGTGTGTGTGTGTGTGTGTGTGTGTGTGTGTGTGTGTGTGTGTGTGTGTGTGTGTGTGTGTGTGTGTGTGTGTGTGTGTGTGTGTGTGTGTGTGTGTGTGTGTGTGTGTGTGTGTGTCCACACCACTGATGGTGAGCCCCAGCTCCACTCCTCTTTTCTTCGGCAGTTTGACGTGGAATGTACCACTGCTAGGCACCACCGACTCTGAAATACAAACACATGCAGAAAAGCCATTATAATAAAGAAGCAACAAATAAGTCTTTTCAACCCGCTTAACATTTGTAATTACGAGGCTTTTAGCTCTTGCTCTTATCTCCTCTGAATTGCTCTCCTTTGGGGCAAACAGAGACTCCAAATCCTCACTGTTTGCAAGCATGAGTCAAAATGCTAATTCCAGCAGTAAAACAACTCTACATCCAGGCACAAACATGACCAGTTATAGGCCAACACAAGACTGTTTTAACCAAGCCATTGAGTCACTTCAGCTTCATGTAATCTTGCCAAGAAGCTCTTATCATTCACTGACAGGATAAATGTTCATTTATTAATTACTCATTGGCTATGTTTACTCATCACAACAAATGTTGCCAAAACAGCAGAAAAATATGTATAATGTCATAGAGCTACTCAGTGACTCAAAAATAGACATTGTCTATAACAACTCATCCTAATGTTTTAAAGAGGACTAATTATGCTCCTTTCAGGTTCATGTTTTTATGTTGTGCCTCTACTGTTACATGTTTGTGTGGGAGTGAAACTCCCTCTGAAGGGAACATAGGGATTGTATTGTTGCAGACCATTTACATGCAAGAAAAACTATAAAACACACTACAGGAAAGGGATAACCTCAAAAAGTATAATAGGGCCCCTTAAAATAACCTTTAAAAAATATATAAATTAAAGTGTGTGCTCAAGCATACCACAAGTACGGAGTCCCTAAAGGGACATCGAAAAAAAAATGTAAAAAAGAGAGAAAAAACCGATAACTTTTGTGTCCTTAAAATTAAGTCTGAGTTCAAAATATATCTCAAATAATGTATGCACTGTCATTTCCCCACATAAACATAACAGTCTGCAATGAAATGGTTGTCTCCTGTGTGTTCCACTTCCTCCATGGCGCACCGGTAACTTTCTCAACAAAAAAAAGTTGGGATAACCCGTTATCCCGACTTGTTTTTTTTCTCTCTCTCTCTCCCTTTTTTTCCCCATGTCCCCTTAGGGGCTCCGTACATAAGAGACATATTCCTGAATAAACATTTAAAATGAGTAAAATTAGAGTAATCTAAAGCAGGGGTTCCCAAAGTGGGGGTCGCGAGATGTTTTCAGAATCCTCTTGATGTGACCCCTGAGGTGTTTTAAAAAATATATATATTTAAATGTATTTTTTAATAATTATTATTATTAATAATAATAACGTGTGCATAGACATTTTGTATTATGTAAGTCTGTTTAATAGGTAAGCGGGACAAATAAAGGAATTTTGATTCGGACAGATTTACGACAGTCATTTGCAGCTCAAAGGTCACTTTACAGCACCACAGAAAATATCAGAGACGTAAAACACACATCAACTATACTGGTATATTTCTTCTGAACAGATCTTTAATACATTTTTCAAAATGAAACATTGGTTAATACCAACTAGTGAGAAGGCAGACAGGCCAGCGGAGGAGAGCGGAGAGCCGCCATCACAAAGGCTGTCGACTTGAGGAGGAGGAGGAGGAGGAGGAGGAACCACCGTAAGGCGGTCCATAAGCAGTCAGACAAGCCTTCATTCAAGTGTCGCAAGTATCGAGAGGAATACATCCAGTACGGATTCACATGCCTCATTATCAATGAAGCACAACATCCCCAATGTGTAGTGTGCACTGAGGTTCTTGCACATGAGAGCTTAAAGCCCGTAAAAATGCTCAGACATTTAAACACGAAGCACCCCTCTCTTGCTACTAAACCAGCAGATTTTTTCCGCCGAAAGCAGAGAGAATTGCAAGGCCAAAAGAAAGTTATAACTAAAAAAAAACAACAATCCCTACCAAGGCTCAAAAGGCATCATATGAGGTGGCATATTTAATTGCACAGGCAAAAAAGCCACACACAATCGGGGAAACCCTAATTAAACCTGCTGCTATCGCTATGAGTAGGGCAATGCATGGGGATAAACAGGCACGGGAACTGGAAGCAGTGCCGCTGTCTGACGGGACCATATCCCAGCACATCACGGACATGGCCCAGGATATCAAGTGTCAGCTGATTGACAGAGTGAAGAAAGGGAAATATGCTTTGCAGTTAGACGAATCCACAGATCAGATATGTCAAACTCTGCCCAACTGCTTGTTTTCGCCAGATACAGTTTTGATGGAAAACTTGATGAGGACATGCTGTTTTGCACCCCGCTGGAGCAAACAATGGTGTAGCGTGAGGGCTATGAAATCGGGAGTCTCCCGCGAAAATCGGGAGGGTTGGCAAGTATGTCATTAGGTGAGATTAACGCTGAAACATAGCGTATTCCCCAAATGTAAATATGCACAGCAACAATGTTCATATGTTTACTACAGTTTATGTCTTTAAAGTTTACACCGCAACAATGTTCTCCTAATTTACATGGAGATTACTTTGACTCACGAGTTCTGCTGTTATCTTATATTAAATTGCTCTATGTAAAATCATATCATGGTTGTCAGGCTGTTCTGTTCTTGTGTGTTGTCGTTATGTGCGTGTTTGGATACCCTATTAGTGCGTGCGTCCTGTGCACACGTTTTTCTTTTTCTTCCAGTCACCACGTGATAGTGGGGGGTCGCCAGTCTCTGGCACTGTTATTTTGGGGGTTGCGGGGCTGAAAAGTTTGGGAACCCTAAAGGATGGATGAGTTTTATTTTCTGATATGTATTGTGAAATAAACTGTTTATGGCCTTTTTTCTCATGCACATGCTTCATTTTATAGGGCCATGTTTATGCTGTGGGCCTTCCTAATATCTTCTGTTAATTTAAATTGGGTCCAGTTTGTTGAGGAGTTTCACTGAATGGGTCCACGTTTTGTTTTATCTAATGCAATCACACATACACACATGCATGCATGCTAAGGTGGGTAAAGTGATACGTGCCAATGGTATCTATTCCACTGATCTACAGGTGCTGGCGACACATTCTGACTTGCTACGATATGACAGAATAAAACAGAAAAAAAGCAGACTTGACACAAGTAAACATGCATATAAATAATGCTCAAGGATATACATGATGCACCTTGGGGGATAATGCTAAATTCCACAAGTCACCTTTAAATGTTACTCATCAAAACAAGAAGGTCAAGCCAAGTTGTGGAAAAGCCGCAGATTCATTTTCCCTACAGATCCTACTTATTAAATACTTGTAAGTAAATATTTGCTATCAAAATCCCCTTTCAAAAACTTGGATTGATCGACCCTTTGTCTGTGAGTTCAGAAACGCCTGCAATGCAATTTAATGACTTTTTTTCAAAATGAAATCAGAGTTAATGACACAGCTGAAGGGTATGTGTGGTTGTTTCCCTTTCATCGGGTTAAAAGCATGCAGAGAAGGCTGTGCCCTGCAGTGACGAGCTGTAATTACAATCTGTCCACAAAGCTCTCACCAAATGAGACCAGTGATCATGCTCTCTGTGCACATTTGTCTATTTAAACATCCTCCAACAAAACTGCTAAATGCTTGCTAAAAAAGAAAGCATTTTGCTCATTTGCTCTCTAATTTCCCTATACAAAATGGTTTGAACCCTTGTAGATGGGCAAATAATCCCAATAGTTTTAAGGATGTTGGATGTTTGACAATAATCCAAAATTGACTCGAGCTTAAATAAAGGGACACTGTAAATGTAATAAAACATCTGGACGTAAAGAGGAAATATATCTTGGTGTAATGGAATCATAAAACTGGGGATGACTTCACAAACCTGCTACATCGAACTCGATATCCAAGGAGACCTTATTGGTCAGTGCCGCGTCTCGGAGAAGCTGATTGGCCTCTTCTAGTGTTCCGTCCTCTGTGGGGATCCCGTTAATTGACAGGAGGCGGTCTCCAACCTGCAGCAGGCCACACCTACAAAAGGAGTTACCATGGTGATGTCAGCAAGATTTGATACAACAGAAAGTTACCTTCCCTAATATGACCTGAATATCACCTGGTAAAGAAGTAGTCATTTAAAAACTACCATTCCCATGTGGTTTTACCAGTGCAGTAGTGTGCTGACATGATATTATTACAATCATTATATTATTATTCAGAATCAGGTTCATTGACGTAAGTAAGATTACAGATATAAGAGAGAATATAAGGTCATCAAATAAGGAATGTACAGTATAGAACTAATTTGAAACATTTAAAAAAAAAAATGAATTAAATATAATGTAAAAATAATGAAAGTTATTTTGAAGGAAGTTATTGTTTCATTGTGGCTCTTCTCCATACGCAGAGTTTGAGGTCTTGTTACAAGACAAGTTTTTTTTACAACATGTTGGGTTAATACAACATATGCTTTTGTCTAGATCCTAACAGTCACTCCAACTTGAAATTATCTTAACATTATCTGGTATAGTTGCATGTGAGAATGCAAATGCCCGAATCATTTGGACAATCATTTGACATTACCCCTTCATCTTCCTAGTACAACATTTGTGTTATCTCCTGTGTGAATAGAGCTGATATTGTCCAGAGAATTTACAGTGACTGGGGCTGCAATTAGGCAGGAGAAACAAACATCAAAGGTTCAAAAAGAGGGGTAATTTACAAAAAGACCCCATCGAAAATGTCTTTCCAGAACATAACAACATTTCTCTGTAAAGGCTAATCAACCAAAATCTTATATATATATATGTTGGTTTTTAACAAAACAACCACATGACCGTTGTGTGATCCACACCATGTTGTGCGATCCACACCATGTTGTGCGATCCACACCATGTCTTGCCTTCTTTTTGCTTCTTTTCGCTCTACCCGGGCACCACCTGAAGATTAAACTAAATGGAATGTTTCGAGCAAGTGAGAACAAATTAAAATATGACACAGACAGTCTTCTGTTATGTACTATTTATGAAAGGGAAACTCTGGAAAATTACCAGACCAGATTCCCAAGTTTATATGAGAAGGTTCTACTGTCATTTCAGTCTGAAATGCCCATGAGGGTTCCTCAAAGCAGAGTGAGCTATTTTTATGACTTGGATATGATTCCTTCCAGGTTTAAAATGCTCCCTAAGGGTTAAGAAAAACCCAATTACGTAGGTGTACCGTCATCTTGGCCCATATCTGGAATTTTTCCTTCCTTTAATAATAATAATTCATTTAACATAGACAGATGAAGCCAGAAGCCGCTTCAGACACCCTTTCTGTGTAACACCACATTATTTTTGGCTACAGTAGCTTCTGCTGTTTGGATGTTTAAGATTTCTGTTTTTATAACATCCATCATTTAGATTGAAGCTGGCATATATCAGCTCATTAGCGCTGACTATAAATCTCATTAATTATGTAAATACCTTTCCTTGGCAAAAGATGTATTACAAGTAGTCATTCAGTCTTTTGACGCATTGGCCTGGGAAATCAAGCAATTGTGGAAGAAAAGCATGTAAACACTATTTGTAAATTTGAGTATATTTCAAGGTATTCCAGCTAGGCACTGCTGCTAACTGGCTTAGAATATATTAGAACATAATACACTATTAATACATGTATACTGTCCTACTGGTATAATGTGTGTTCATGATGTAGCAATGACATCTTCTCTGCATGAATAAGTTAGCAATCAAGTACTGCTATATCCTCAAGGTTAGATTATTTCAATTTAATCAATTTAACCTGTTAAGCCCTGAACCTGTTTTTCAGGTCTCAAGCTCGAAAATGACATTCCCAGAACAAATGACTATATCTTCACTTCTAAAAGGGTTAAATTAATAATCTTTTTTCTCAAAGCAAGGTTACATCTGTGAGTTGGATGTAGAAGTGTCAGAATCAATATAGATGTTTTAAAGTAAATTCATATTGAACATAGTAAAAAAATGTAAATTATAGTGTCCGTCCAAAAAAAGAAAACCACCCTTGAATGATGGGATAGTAGACTAATAGCTTTGGGAATCCAAACCATAACATATAAGTACCCTGTATCAAGATTGATGCAAAACAAGTGACGTTTGACCTTTTTAGAGAGATTTAGAAGAAAAAAACCCACTTCTGGGTTCATTTGGGTGCATTTTCCATATCTCTGGCCCCCCTTGGTCGATTTTGATGATTGACATCTCTTTTTAACCGTTAGAGCCAATATAATCGAGGGGAAGTTCCTAAAATCCATATAAACATTACCCATTGGTGAATGAGTGCTGCACAGCCAGAATGCCCCGGAACCGGAAGCTGCGATACACTCTGGTGGCTACCATTAGCAGCTAATATAAAATCTCCGATTTTTACATACAAATGTAATTATGGATTATCAATCATTCATCACACATTGGATTAACCTTCAGCCGCGTTTTTATCGTTTTAATGCCATTGAACACGACTTTTGATCAGAATAACAGCTAAGGTGAGACGATCTCCCGTGAATGCTCCGTGATGCTACGTGTTGTGATGTCTGTTTGCTTCCCCTGTCGCAAGTTCTGATCTCTCAGTGAAGATACTAATACCTATATAATCTGTGGAATCTCAGCTTTAATCTGATATCTTGTATGTGCAGTTACGATAAGTAATAAGGGTATTTTTACCTTGAGTTCTGTGCTAAGTGCGTTATGTGCTCAGGGGTCATTTAGACGCTTCTTGTGAGACTTGTGCTTTGTTTCGGTGAAAATTGTTCATATCTTCAGTTAGCTGAGTTTCTAACCGTTAAGTGAGTATGACAACTTAATAGGTTTTTAAATATTAAGAAGCCCTGTGACACAGTTTCGTGAAAAAACTACACGCCGGACCCGGATTAGGGTCCTCTCGGGCTTAACAGGTTAATGAAACTCAAACATTTTAATTGTATTAAAACAAAATGTCCTATGCTACTTGAACTATTCCATATCATCTCCCTGTATTAATGGACTCACCCATGACACACCTGACCACAGTACAGGCAGGATCGCATTATCTGAACTACTGACTGTCTTTGGCTTGTTTTCTTTGTTGCGGACATGTGTGCGTTCGTGAAAATGTACGTTTTACAAATTCAAATTTTAGTTGTGTTTACTTCCCACACACGGCACTATCTGCGCAACAGAAGGCAGTTAGCATCATCAAGCATGTGTAAGCTAGTTTTGCAGACCACAAGGCTTCTTAGGGCCCGGGCATGTCTCCACATGTCTGGCCAACACAGTCTCACTCCCTGATCGTCCAATAGCGACGCTTGGTCAGGGTCCTTTGGCGTGCAGTTGTGACGCACCGAGTCTCCTTCAGCTTCATAAACGGACGCAAAGAGCTTTCAACTGATTGCAATGTATTCCCATTGGCGGCGGTATTTGACGCTCAGGGAAGCATCGCATCGGTCCATGTCGGCGGAAGTTAAAGGCAATGTGAGCGTCCATTCCCATTGGATAACGGAGAATTTTACACCCGGATGTAAGTATTCTCCTTACTGTCGATTGATTTTACAGTGATATCTCCACTACTCATCAACTCAAAAACAGCAGATTATCCTTGTTAATTACACAACATTGATCGGTTTAAATTGTGTACAATGCTTTTTTGTTTTCCCCCTTCGATTCGAAGAAACAAATAGTTTTTTGGGAGTTTAGGATGGCCGAAGACACTACACTAGTGTACACTACCCATAATCCTAAACTATCGTTTAGGACTACAGCAGCCGCTTTGCTTGACAAACCCCGTGATTAGTCGAACGTAGGGATGTAACGCTACCAAAAACTCTCTTGATTGGTACTGATGTTGCTGGGACAGAGAGATATGCTTTGGCCATGGGTGACAGAAGTGGGTCAAACTGTGCATTGTCTCTCCACCACTTCAAAAACAATACAGTTTTTGCCAAGAAGTTAAGGCTTATTGAAAGGGCGAGATATAAATATACTGTTGGTACTTGTCAATGTCTCTAGGTATGTAAATACGATGTCCTTTTGTGTTATCTGTTGTTTTATGTTCATCTTGTAACCTACTTGCTGCCATGTTGGACAGGTCTCCCTTGAAAAAGAGATCAATGATCTCAATGGGACCATCTGGTTAAATAACGGTTTAAAAAAAAAAAAAATTATTTAATAAAAAAAAATCGTTACATCCCTAGTCGAACGTGTGTCCCCCCCCCCAGAACTACACATGCTGGCCAATTGTGTTTCGAAACATGTTCTATGGCACGTCTCTACTGTGAATTGTAGTTTTAAAAGACGTTTTCGTATTTCTCACAATTAGAAGTTGCCAGTATTAAACTGTGTACAGCCCTGGAGGTTTAGGGGATGAAAAACCCATTGGTGTATTTTTACTCCACTACATTTATTTTAGTTACTTTACAGATTCTGATTAATGATGTGAAATATAAACAACCCTTAAATCAGACTTTAGTTACACCTGAGTCAAATTCAGGGAAGGTGATTGTCAAGTGCCAACAATCAGGCGAGATATTTGATAGTGTGTGCTTGAGAAGACAAAAAATGTATCTGCAGATCCTTATAAAGTATATTCATTACTCGTTATTTTCTAATAGTTCATTTAAGACTGTATAATGGCTATTTTGCACATCCCTTTCAAGATTTCAAGATTTTCAAAGGTTTATTGACAGATCATATACACAACTACGGTGTAGTTATGCAATAAATTAAACACTTGGGTCGCAGGTACCTCAACAGTGCATTACAAGACATCTATGTGTGTATACCTCCACCATTAAACTGTCATATTCTGCACATTTTCTTATACTATCTACATACATCTTATAAGAGTATAATTAATATGTATAATATCGGTTAAAATAACCCATAGTTAACATTGCAGGAAAGTTAATTGTCAAGTCCCAAAACAAACCATGCAATATATTAGACTTTAAGTACTTTGTCAGGCTTAATATTTATCTGTAGATACCCCCAAAGCCTTTTGCTTACATGTATTTAAAAGAAGACCTTAACCTAAAGTAT